GGACCTTCTATGACAGATATAAGTAAAAATGGAACAGAGTAAAGAAAATCATATGTCACGTTGAAGACATATAAAATAGATGCAATAGATAGTCCGAAGGAAGCGTAGCGGGTAGTAAATATAAAGCATACACAAAAAGAAAATTCTGACATTATATTTTAACAGAGTCAATTACAGACGGATAGATCTAACGAGTACTTTTAAAAAGCCGGAAGGAATTCGGCAGAGCAACCAAGGTAAACCACATCTGAAAGCCAGTACCATGTTAGATTAACCAGAAACTGCAAAATCGGAATTTCCTGTTCCACATATAATATGGTAAAACTTAATTCACTCATTTCTACTCGTAGTAGTCAAACGCTTCATATACACAAAATAGGTTAACAGCACAGTATTTCAAGAACAAAGTAAACATAAAGTTAATTAATTTTAAACATTTTGAATCATGTTTATGTTATAGGTACTACTTATGAAGCTTACTTGAATAATTTGCTACATGTATTAAGGATGGTATAACTCTCAATGTTCTTCCAGCTATTGGAATGTTAAAACGAGTAATCACTGTTTACCAACTGTATATCTTCTACTTTAATTTTAAATCTGCATTTAAGATGGTCAACCATAAGGACCTAGTAGATATTTTGCATAAATTAGGAATAGGTCCTCGCTTAGTCAAATGCATTGCAGCATTTCTCTACTTAATATGAAAAATATGCCAACGTCGTCAAGACGTATTATCTTCTTGTGACTGCACAAGAACCTAGAAGAATGCAGGTTGTGCTAGATTAATTTTGGACAATAGAATTTAACTTAAAGCCTTCATTTCACGTTATGCACTATAAGCAAGGTAACTCAATGAAAAATTATTACATCGACAACCGCAAATCGACAGCAATTGATCAAGTACGTAACCTGGCAATTCTAGCGTCAACAAACCTTAGATATATTATGTATGACTTACGCCATCAGAAGGGTAAACTGAATCCTACCCTTATTTGTAATTATTAAATTTATACTCTAAATGAAGGGATTCGACTGCCACCTCATACCTACGTATGCCCATCAGCTTAGAATACAGAGTTAATGAGGGATGAAGAATTATTGCAAATTATCTGAACATGCTGAGTAGGTTGACAACGCACACTTGGCCGAGAAGTTTTTTACTGTTACTCCAACAATCATGAGAAGCGCACTTAATATATAGCCAAAAGAAACAACAACAGAAATTTATCTTAATATCTTTGGGTGACATGCTCTTCTTAGGCTAGCCTGCGCAACTCTTAACCTAGGTACCATTTCTTCTTAATTCTGTCAAATAGAGAATATTTATACTGCTAAACATCTTGGCAAACCCAGTTTATTTGTAGATAAAATAGGTCTTTGCCTGGTGCGTGACCTTCATAATCACGCATTTTGTTCAGAAGGCTCCATGTACATAGCGCACGTCGTACCGCGATAGCAGCAGTATAGTACTTATAGAGTGAGAAAGCTAAAAATAAGAAATATGAGTTCTTAGACGTCAAAATATTCCTGTGGAAGACCCAGGACAAATATTTTAGCCATACTGCTTCCCTTTTGGAAAAATTTGATTCTCTTGTACTATGTCTACTATGTCCTGTACTATGGAAAAATTTGATTCTCTTGTACTATTTATTGCACAGATGAATTAGCAGCTTAAGAATCATTTACTTCAAAACAATTTTTTTTTGTGTATAGTCTTTTTTTCTTCATATTTACAACAGTGATTTTCAATTACTTCTTTGAATATCAAGAGCTATCTCCTGCGATCAAATGTTACTCAGATGAGATAACAGGATGATCAAAGACGTATTACTCAGCTCAGACTGACGCAGTGAATAACTAAAATGAAACGATATAGATGTCTAGATAATTTCGAGGAGCCTGAGAGGCACATCTGAAGCACACAGGGCAAATCTAGTAATGCTCGTGGTAGCATAAGGGATAATGTATTTGCATGCTAAGTTTAAAGATTTATTGGTGGTTTAGGTTCAAATCGAAGTATTGAAATACTAAGTTTTGTGTTGGAAGCCAGCTGTCTCATGAAAAGTCTAACGATGATGCCAAACGTAAAAGCGGAAAAAGCGATGATTTTAAATACCAGTGGAACATATGTATGGCGAACGTCTTTGATCATTACAAAGCTGCTTTTAAGACGCGTGAATTTTTTTCTTAGCGTTGTTGTTAGTGGGTATGTTATTTATAAACCACACTACCCTATCTCGCCCACCAACTCTTTCTGACCCGCCGTCAGCGGTGAATGGTCTGGATAAAGCTATACTCAATCTTGAGTAATTTCGGCATGGCCGATTTTTTGTTTCGATACACCAAACATCTCTTTGGAGCAATGCAAAGATGTTTGGTTTTTTTGCAACAGATATTTTGCACGAGCAAGTTCGGCTGTCACGAGAGGTTCGAGCGTCGGTTTAGCATGTAGACGCCTCTCTTTTTGGAGCGCTGTACTGTTTGTAACACATATGCTGTGACACGAGCTGCTTTTTATACCGAAGAAAACTCAACAGAGTTAGTATTCGAGGAGGCAATAGCGACCACCAACGCTCTGATCTCCGGAAGCGCCGTAAGCAAACTTGGGTCTTCCTTACAGTTCGTTTAAGATGGGTGTGATTTTGCTATGACCATTCCATAAGGATTGTGTTCGCGGATCAAATACTTCAGTTATTTATCTGGAGACTTGGTAGTCTTGTAGCGTAAAACTTCACAAGCAGACTGCATCAGATCTGCGCAAGGAACCAGATCCTAATTACAACCCGGCCCTTTATATATATAATATATATATATAAGCTAACGATTGAAACACACTGGGATGTGGTTAACAACTATTATTATAACCAAAACGCTATTAACGGTTAATACAATGCGTTATTTGATCAACGGTAGCGTCACACACACTGATTGGCAACAGTTGTTTAAACAATCACAATAGGCAATGCAGCATCTTTTAGAATTGATCAGTTAGAATAGTGCGCCTCCCTTTCATCAAACACCGTCGTCTTTTCATCTACATCCACTAAAACGGATCTTGAAGCTAGAAGATGCACGATGTAAGCTGAGATTGTGCGAGATATATACATAAGTAACACGTGCACATGAAATTATCGAAAGCACTTTTCCTTCTCTATCGGTGTGCTGTAATGATATTGTGTTGTGAGTGCAATTTCAACTCGAAAGTAACTTTTAAACTTCATGTTCCAGCTGGAAAAGAAAAGCATTTTCGACACCTTCTATACTGTGCATCTCATCGAGGCTAAAACATTGCGTTAAAAGAATTGCTCAAGAGTAATTTACCAAGCTTGAAATCCGTATCCACCGTTTGAATTTGATGACGACCATTTGCAAGCATTGAAGGAAAATGCCACATAAACAACCCGCTGCAGCCACGAGACCGTCATTAATCACCTAAAGTCTTCTGGGTTTACACATGAACTTGAGTGTCATCAGCACTCTGAATTCAACAAAGAATTACGACTAAACACTGCATCTCAGTATCTTGCTCAGTATCGAGCCTTACGAAGCTTCACTGATCGATTTGTGCACAGAGTTGTCACCGACTTTACCGCCGAGGCTTGTTGTAGAAGGGACAACTAAGAGTCAGTCATAAGTGTATTCACGTATACACGTACGAAACATAGCCATGTAGAGTTCTATTGCAGCCCTTAACAGAAAGCTTTTGATTGGGTCCATGTAGATTTGGCAAACCTGTCTACAAACGACTGTATCCCGAAATGGTTTGAAAAGTATCCGATGAAATCTGTGAACAGTACTGCAACCTCTTTAGGTTTTTACTTTTAAAAAGCCAACGAAGTACGATATGTACTTCTCATATTGTCGGACAATACATGACAAACATTAATAGACAACATATTTATTTTACCAACGTATCAGGGACAAGGTAATCCGTTATTTGTGGAAATACATGTAAGAACGTTTGAAAACTAATTTACGAAGTAATATGTGTAAAATGATGTTATTGAATTGCTCTGTTTTTTTCTTAAGACCATGTGGAGCAATACCCAATAAAAATGGACTAAGACCAACTCAGCTACTTATTAGGAAATTCTTACAAACAACGGTATCACTCAAAGAAACCCAAGATCAGCGACGATATGGTCCACGAAAATAGAGAGCCAAAGACCGACAACGTACTCTAGAAAGAGAAACCTTGTTCATACCGAAACAGCAAATATATGTTATGGATTGTTGTTAGCAGAATCGGTAAAAAGTTATACAGAGTAGGAAGTTGGCATTTCAATCTGAAAAGCACACGCGAACGACTTTGTTTACATTAACACCGTTACGTACGTTTAATAAGGGATTCAATAAGATTTTAATAAGGATTAAGGTGTACCGATTTAAGCAGACCTACTAAAGCTCGACAAAGTACAAAAATAGTTTTACAATAAATTATATATATTTCAGCTATGTGCTTTATTAACGGGGTCAAAGTATGGTTGTCAGTACAACTAAATCCTTCAGTTCACCTAGATATAATATAATTGGGTTATGTTAAACATTATAATTTCAAAAAACGATGACGGAATCACAAACGTTCTGATACGACGTAAATACTAAGACTTAACATATCAGGTTACTCTTCGTTGAAATGTTTGCAGAAAATTCTAGATTTAGACCTCTTTTCCTTTCTATTACCAAAGCTTACGGAGCTGCTCGGAAATAGATATTAAAAGAAATTATGTGCCATTTCTATGATAGAGTTCCAAAAATATTTTGAAAAATAAAAAGGTTATTTCTCTACTACTACTCTATATCCTGCAAGGTCTACTTAGCTTCAAATGTATATATTCAATTCTAAAGGAAATTTTAAAAGTATAATATCTAAATCGGCTTCTCTGGCGGCGTATGTGAACGTTCTACTAGTGTATAGATACCAATAAACTGTAGTACAAATAATTTGTTTTATGAGATTGTTTACTAATATGTTTCGATCCTGCTATCGGTTATAGGTGCAAGGCTGATAACTGCCCAGATACGCCAAACTCTGGGCAGGAGGATGCGGATGGAGACAATATTGGAGACGCCTGTGATCCGGACGCAGATAATGACGGAGTAGCAAATTATCCTGACAACTGTCCGCTCGTCTCTAATCCTGATCAGAGAGATTCCGACAAAACTGGTAGGAACAGATATTAATGCTGCCGTAAACAGATTTAAAAAGAAAGTTGATATCATTTTTTCAAACGCCTCTTCAGATCATGAAGTCTCCTGTGTTAAAACATGCCAAAAAGATACTGTAGTTTCCAAACAAGTATCGACAGTACAGCAAAATAAAGAGCGTACACGTTTTGAAGAGATGTGCCCTCGCTACGGATAGAGCACCAACCCATGCAGTTGTTATACAGATATTGAATTGAATAACATGTTTGTTTACACAACGAAGGTGTGTGGCACACGAGTAACGCATTGTGCAGCATATATTACCTAAAATGGAGCGTAGGTGTGTTGTTTTACGGAAGCGTCTGGACATCTTTTAAGCTATAAGATCGATCGACTTCTACTACGAAGGTATTTAAGAGCACCCAACCTTTTCTGCTCCTTCTACTGGCACAAAATATTACTTGTACATGAGAAGGCTACTCTGAATAGTCCCAATTTGTTATGAAGCATGCTATAGAATTTATTCTTTAAAAAATACCTGCACTGTGAAACACAGTGAATCCTTTTGGACTTACATATACGGACGGTTTCCTTAGTTTCCAACATTAGTGTATTCCATCGAGCATCACAATGTTATTTGAAAAATGAGTGTGTTATATACATATAATCGATAATAAAAGCCAAACTAAATTTATCGATTTCGGTGACTTACGCTAAGGTGCATATTTAATAACAAAACAAAGCCAATTTTGACGGTGTGATGTAAAGCTTTATCCACCATAATGATTTTAATAAAATTCTGTCGTTCGAAATTCTGTTTAATGAAAGATAGTTTTTCCCATGAGGTCTGGTTCACAGCGGTTTTTAATAATTATGTCAGACATGTTTTCAGTAAAACCTTAGATAAGTGTCGTGTTTCAATGGGCATAGCTCAACTGTCTAAGTGCCCTGGGGGGTCAGTTTTGTGGAGGATGATGCAGTAATCGTGGCATCATCAAAACAGAAAAAAAACACTGTATTTTTCAGCTCTTTTATATATTGATAGATTACTAGGTTGATTGTTAGGAACCTGCTGCATCCTGTAGCTAGGCCGCAGCGCCTAAACTGATTTCCTGTTAATCGAACCTTAAAAGCGCAAACTTTGAACATACTTGGTAAGTTATGGAATAGAAAGAATTTACGTGCATTATTGAATAAAAAATCAATTTTTAGAAAGAACTAGCGCAGTGAAAAATCAATACCGTTCATAATCACTTTAAATGTACTCAGGGAAAACTAGAGTTATGCTAATCCTTTTCTTAGATTCTTTACGTGCCTTTAATACCGTACCAAAAGGACAAACACTACAAGTCTTTAACGAACATCTAGATAACAAAAAAAATATTTTTTTTTAAAACTAACACCAAATCGTTATAATTACGGCATAATCTGTACGAAAACTTTCAGGAGGCCTAAGATGAGATGAGAGACTAATTTAACAGGAGTATGTAAGCGAGGTTAAACCTAAATTAAGGGCAAAAATTGCATGTTCGGTGAAAATGTACAAGATAACTTCCCTGGCAACAGCAAGAACTGTAAACATACCTATATTCGGCATACGAAGCTACCCTCTCTAGCATTCTAGAACTACCAGTAATAGTACAAGGTCTCTAAATCAAATGAGTCTTACTAGCAGACCTTACAAATAGGGAAGCGCTACTTTACAGCAAATAAAATATTGTCGTAAAAGATAAAAATATATCTGCGAATGCCATTAGCGAATGTTAACATTCGACAGAATCGGACTATAGGAATCCCAATGCCCACAACACACGTATCCGGCTAGTTTAAAAACAAACTGCCAAATCAAACAACATAACGCACGTTTAGAAAAAACAAAATAATCATAGGCATACAAAGATGCACAGCTCGGTTCGTAAGGGTTTCTAAATAATAATCAAATCATAAAGCAATTCCAGAATTCGAAGTGGCACTTCTACCTAGCGAATGCTACACAGCACAACCAGTGTCGTTACGTTTATATGTCATCGTAGTAAATAATGAAAATGCATTATATATCTAAACAAAAGCTGTTTAGTTGTACTTTTATTTTAAATATGGTTTCAGGTAATGACAATCTGGGTGACGCATGCGATAACTGCCCAACAGTTTATAATCCTGATCAGATAGACACAGACCACGATGGCCAGGGCGATGAGTGCGACAGGGATGCAGATGGAGATGGCATCCCCAATCATGCGGATAATTGTCCGCTTACGGTCAATCCAGATCAGAGTGATCAGGATGGTGATGGGTACGTAATAAACTTAGTTTTGAATATAATTGGAGACAAATGAGCAACGATTGCAAGGACTCTAGAATATCGTTACCCGTGCTCACCCTAGACTAGTCAAAGGCCTTCGATCCTTATGTTTAAACAGGCTTGCAAAATACTTTTCCTTATATTTGGTCACGGGATTAAGTCTAGTAATCTCTATAAATAAATAATTGTTTCGTATTTAATGTTCAGTACTTTTATTAAGCATCGCCTTTGCAGTCTCTCAAACATACGACTTTTATTGTCGGTGTATTGTGGCGAATGACCAACACATGTCTTTGCTTCATATGAATCACCAAAGGAGTGACAAGTATTACTAATTATAACACGTGATACGGTCTTAGGATAAAGACGCAATCCTTAATTAATGTAGTTTATTAAATCACTGCTCTAGCCTTATGGGCATTTACGTGGTATCAAATAAGAGAGCAGAGTTTTAGATCGATGCGAATTTCAAAGTTTGTAAGTTTCCCGTCCTAATAGAAAGTCTTTGAATAATCGTGGTCTAAAACTGTCAGCAATCAGCTACGATAAATCGAAAATCAATCTTCGTAGTTGTTGATCTGTTACCACAAACCGTTTTTAATTTACTTGCTTGAAATTGCTTACTGGAGAAAAAGATATGCCTCACAGAATTTAGAATTTACTTAAATATATTTAATTTGTCGATTATGATCAAGAATTCCATATATCGAGTATTTACTGTATCTTATTTTCCCTAGATTGGGTAATTCCTGCGATAACTGCCCTTTTGCGGCAAACCCCAGTCAGGAAGATCTGGATCAAGACCTCGTTGGCGACGCCTGCGACAACAATATTGACCGGGATTATGATGGTATGTCTAATGCCACCCATATAATCATTATTAATAAAGTTACGCATATATGTATCTGTATATATTTTCGTCTACGTTACATCACACTATTGTATCATTTGCAATATTGAAACGAATCGCACATAATCATTCTGTTAAGTTAGAAAAAAAAACTATAATATGAACACAAGTTCACGATTTTCTCGGATCTGTTACTCAATTTATCTATCCCCCTCGCCAGAGATCGTCAAATGTATTAATGAATTTCATTAGCCGGTGATCGAAGAAGGCAGTAGTCTATTGCAAAGCCTGGAAAATATGATGAGTGTGAAAGAACTTTCTACTTAGGCTCTTACAAGGCAACCTTTTGACTCTGCCTTATCTATTGGGTCTATATTGCTGAACAGCCAAATTTACGCACGTTGCTTAGCAGTGCCTTGTCAGATATTGAGGAACAATGAAAAGCAATGTTTCCTTTTATGCTTCACCTAACGAGGCAAATGGTGCACCTAAGTAGGCAAACAGTCCTTTTAGTTAGAGTTCTCACTGGACACGGTACAGATATTCCAAACTACTTAGGCAATTTTTTTAAGCTAAGCCAAAGGTAAATAGAGTAGGTATTGCAAATGCACTGTTTTTTTAACCAAAAATACTCGTTTTTCAATATTATCACCTACTCAATCAACAATTTTATTTCTCTTTGCACCACTGTCTCTGCGCCTTTGGATAAGTTCACCATTTCTGTTACATTACTCGGTAAAGCTAAGACTATGCCAACCTAGGACCCAACCTAGGAGAGTTATATTACCCATTTCGCTACACAATAAAATAACTTCCTGAAATTCGAGAAATAAATTTTTCGCTCGGCTCCCCAATCTTATCACAACGAATGCTTAAAATAGCACTCTACCGTTATCCATGATACATTGTTGATACTAACACTTTTGTAGATATCAGCTATTTGCAATAAGCAAAGACCACCAGGCTGAAAGTAATTGTCACAAATTGTAGACTGAGTAATCAATGGGAATTTGGACAAAAAGACGGGAATTTAGAGAAAGAGAGTAGACGAAACTTATAAGCGCCCCAAAAGAGAAATTTTAAATAATGAATTTGGTTATTGCGGTATTCTAAAAATCAAACCTAATCAGTGCAAAAAAAATTAACTTACTTGATACATGCCTACTGTTTTTTAGTTCATTAGCTTAAGATTGACATAACCGAGTAAGAAAAACAGATACACATAGATGGTCTAACTTTCTAATTCGAAACAGTGGTTCTTGCACAATCTTATAAAAAAGTGTTCGAGAAATTAAAACCATAGGAACCTAATTATAAAAGAAAGAAAGTTGTTTCAGAGAACATAAAGCTTTGGTTAAAATCTCAAAACTCTAGTGCAATTTTATACAAAGTTCGCAGAAGAAAAAAACCTTTAAAAGGTGAAGTTCTTTGTGGGCCTTTTGTTTTTTTTTACTGCAAAAGATGACATAATGTAGATCTATGTCATTAGAGCAGAGATAATAGGAATATACTATAAAAGGTTGCTTTTAAAGTAAAAGGTTTCCGAAAAGTGAAATAATTTGGAAAAAGGTTTTTAATCGAGCTTCATCGCGCACACACGTTCTCCTTAAAATATTAGCCATAAACTTTTCAACATCTTGTATACATGACTATTTGATTATATCCGAAGGTGAGTTCACATTTGAAAACATCGGTGATGTGATGAATTTTAGGAAGGAAAGGTTTTTTGACACAAATCTAAATGAGCTCGTATTCCTCCATATTAAATTATTTTCAGTGGATTTATACTATTTGCGTGGAACAAGGAGCCGGCCACTACCTCTGAATATAATGATTTTCTTACTTATTGAACATTATACCTCCACAACTTATTTCAATGTATTTCTTTAAAACTAACGAAAATATAGATGCGATGCCAGGAACTTTTACTGCAATAGATATTAATTCTAAAGAGCATATATTTGGTAAACCAACAGGAATTCAGGACAACGTCGACAACTGCCCAGATGACCCCAACAGTGACCAACTAGATACAGATGAAGATGGACAGGTATTTTCATAGTCCATTTAATTTAAAAAAATTAAGGTAATACAAAAATAAATGCGAAATCCTATGCTAAATATAAATACATAATACACAGAGTGGGAAAAAAAACACTTTTATGCTGAGGAAACTTAGGGATAGGAACGATAAGCTTCTTATTAGGTGAGAGGTAAGAGGTGATACGGATGCTGCTTCAATCGTAAAGCTGCTTTTTTAGCAAGCGCAAGCTTAACATTTTCTTAATCGCATACATTAGTTTTTTTCCACTGCAAGCCTCTTTTTGCTCCATTTTACATGTTGGTAGTGCAATAAAATTATTTAGTAATTACGAAAGATTGGTACATATGTCAAATTTTCGGCCGTATAGTATTACCAATGTTATGAAACTTAGGGTCTCAACGATAATTATTTTGAAACAAATTGAAATCAAGGCGAACTTGTATCTAACACTTGGAGTAGGGCTAGTTGCATTATTTTACAGCTTAGGTACATCAGTCCACTGCGGGTCCTCCTGTAATACACGAGCCGATGTGGCTAGTATAACGAACGCGGCAAATACATATAAATATATGTTGGCGTACATGAATGTGACGTGTGGTCGCTGATAATAGAGTTACGCGTGTTTCAAGCAGGGCAAAAAGATTTTAAGTAAAGACGAGAAAGACAGCAAACGAACAAACACGGTAAGCGATGGTGGCACAGTTGTCGTTTTGTCGATCATATATATATGTGCTATATTTAAATCATAAATATGTAGCTGTATTTAGAGCGCTTGGTGGTGATGGATCTGTATTCCAGGATATGTTTAAATTCAGATTATTTCTACCTATAGATATATGGAATCTCAAGAGGTAAATACCCGTTCTCACACGCATATTGACGTTTATGGGTGTAGTGAAATTAGGCACAACACCGTATACAAATGTGAGTAGGCGAAATGTATAAAATAGCGGACATAAGATTAGAACATGATAGTCTGAAGCCGAGATATCGTTCCGTAACAGAATAAAGGGTCACCCACAGTTTACAAAAAAAAGCGTGCTGTGTGTCGGATACAATGTAGTGTAATAATAAGGGAAATTTCCAAATATGGACATATAGCAGAAATAATAATTAAAATATGAAAACTTTCGAGTGGCACCTAAATCAACAACCGCACGGTGTACTGTTTGTTATATGATCACAGGACGGCTAGCTATACTAAAAAGGTATGAAAACTTGTGTGTTTCATGGCATTTAATAGCGAAATGATGAAAGCCAAATATGTAATTTGGAAAATGACCACCTATCAGGAAGTAAAGCCTGTTCGGTATTCCAAGCATAGTCGACTACAGAGCAGGTGACAAACACATAATATTTGGTAATGTAAGCGATATCTAGCCAGTTACCGTTAGAGCGAGATGCTCCGATATCAAGGCATGCATATAAGGTGGAGAAATAACTATTGGGGCTATTGTTATCCGTGCAGTGTTCGTTTACATTTGCCGAACAAACATATGAAAATCAAAAAAATATTGGATAAATTAAAGCCACTAACACTCCAGGTCCCTGTTGAATAAATTCTAGACACCGTGAAAGTGTCAGCGTTGATAAATTGGGTGAAAAGTGACGAAACTGTCAGAAGTTCAGATTAAGGTCCCTAATTATCCCCAGATAAAGGTCCCCGGTAATTCTTGTCAGCCCCATGGTCCATGAGAAAATATGTATAATGATTTTCTGAAGTTCGATCCGGACAGCGTTGCAGTTAATAACAAAATTGCATGAGAGAATTAATGACTACAGAAGTAACAATGTTTTTATAACCATGTAATATACAGCCACGCCTAAGTAACTTTTTACAACTTTTTTTCAATTTGAAAAAAATCACTGACAGGTTTAAATGACATGATATTGGCTAAATTAGGTATAACAACAAAAAAAAACATTAAAGTTTGGCCTATCTGTTAGCAAAGGTCTAACAGAATGTTTAAGGTATCCGAAAACCTCAAAGGGCACGCTAGTTTGCCAAATAATCCCTAAATTTTGCTCTGCGATGCCAGGACAATCAAGAGTAGGTCTATTTTTGGGCGTTTTTGTTTATTCCACATTATGAGTCTTCTGTGTAGACGTTGGATTGTTCGAAAACTGCGTAGCATTCCATGGATAAGCAAAAAGAATTATCAATGGAATGATCCTGATTTAGAGCAAAAGCAAATTGTATTCGACCGTACAGTTAAGGTGTACATCCGCTATAAGTATATTAAGTATTCAGCATAAAAAAAACTCTTACAGATTATTTGAGGAAATTGAAAGTATATCTAAAGAGACACCGGATGAATATCAATCAGCTAGATTTTCTCATACTAAGAGGACTGCTTGGTGTGCCATTGCTTGCGCACTAAAGTATATGCTAGGTTTATGCCCTGACCTTAATTTCGTACCCGTAAACATATAGTTGAAGGTTTTTCGTAGGTCTAGCATTCTAAAATCAGGTAATATTAAGTAATTTGTCTCCCGTAGGGGTAGGATTTGAAGTTTGTCCGCAGGTGGAGGAAAGTAAATCGCTTCTACTACAGAGCACATGACCATGCTGCCTCCAAATTTGAGTGAAACGAGGCGTAGTTTTAGTCCAATTTAACTCTTAACAAACCGGCAGTTGAAATGTGTGCGCACCCTAACCCCCGCCTAGATATAATGCCAAATCTTTCGAATGCACCCATTTATCTTAAAATGCGGCACCATATCAAAGCAAGCTTTCTAATGTAAGGCGAGTGATTGAAAGGTGTGTTGGCAGATATTCGACAACTCTTTTCGTGTGCGAATTTCTTTTGCGACCTCCAACTTCATACATAAGTAGGGGGTCGCTGGTTCGATTCCCGTTAATGATATTTATCATACCGCAGGCATGATTGAATAAAAAGAACATGCTAATTAGTTTGATAAAGATGGCAAATTGCTTCTCATGTCATTATCATTGTCAAATTTTGTCAAAAACAGTCAGTTATTAAAAAAACATGTTAGTTAAATAAGGCGTTAACAATAGATTAGCTGTGGAGTTTTCCACAAATTCTTCATTGGTTTAATCTCTCACGAAAGACTCACAGCCATAAGAATACCATTGTAGACCCGCTGCATTTTCACAGCGTGTATTACCTATTAAGGCTTTGAATTAGCGTTTTTTTTTCTCCGACGTGGCTTTTAAACCACAATTCTACTACTTTTCAATTTTAGGGTGACGTCTGTGACTTCGATAAGGACGAAGATGGCATCAGAGACAACGTGGATAACTGCCCTTTGGTATACAACCCGGATCAAAAGGACACTAACAATACTGGTATGCTTGCTTGAGTCGCATTTAGCACAACATGTGAGCAGGCTCAATATGCGATTCATGTAGGCAGAATTATTTTGCTCTCCAACCATGTTTCACTGGTGGTCTTCAGGCCGTAAAAAATCTAATGTAAATATACAGAAACCTTTAAGCAACTGCAGAGCACCTTGATACTTCATTTAATAATTACATACATAATTTACATTTCTTCAAGGTTATGCTACAATGAATTCAGATGTCTACGTGCGCATGTCTTCACAAAATGCGTACGCTATCGAAAATTAAAGTGATACAAATAAGGAATGTCAGTCTCTCGAATATGTGTTTCTAGTATAAATGACGCCTTTTACATGAAAACGCACTTAACGCTTTTCTTCGATTGATATCTTTGTTGACGAAGGTAAGACTTGAGACCTGTCGAGCATTGCAGTATAAAGGAATAAGACCGAAATGATAAAAATAGTCTTCAGCATGACATAGCATGGTTTTCGCTGGTCACATATAAGCATCTATTGTCAGCTTGTCAGTAAATTAGATGTAACATTGCATTTGGAAATTTCCTAAGTGTCCGAATTTCCATATTCGATATAATACGTTTCGAAATTATTTTACAGTTTTAACAAGCGTAATACGTTTTCTAAAACTATCTGTTTTCATGCTGCTATGATGTTGACCACATAACCGTTCTCAAATAGGTACATCTATGTACTACAATAAAATCACCCTCGGTTCCGTTTATTATAAAAATCGGAGTCTCTGGTGGAACAATTACCACCAAGAGAATAGTATTATCATAGACGATTTTTATGGATGGAGTAAATGGGATGAACTTGAGAAGATCTGTGGCAAGGAGGCTCGATCGAGTTTACCTCCAAATATATTTTTATAACTAGTGATATTCATTATAGTCAATGGTATAAATATAATAAATAAATAAAAAATGGATCAATAAAAATGGCGATTTTGTTGCAGCGCTCAGATTTCCCGGTTCCAGTAGGACCCCAAATCATGATTAACTTAGTTCTGTGATTCTGCAGCTGAGTAGGGTTAGCCATATAAACCAGTTCTTTGAACCTCCTCCAGTATTTAACAAATACAGAAGGGTGATTTTTAGCCACAAGTTTGTATTCGTGGCTAGAATTAGAAACGCAAGTTTCGCAGGCATCTTGAATTGTTTTTCTGTCTGCGAAGATCTTTCAAAAATGCCAAGAAGTAGCTATTCTCCTTCTTGCAATATTCGGCAGCCTGGATGCTTAAGGCTTTAGCGACCTCGTAGTGGCCTCATTGTCCAATCAAAGTTTTTATCTGAGCTAACTAATCGAATTTTTGTACGTATACTAGCCTTGTAAATAAGCCGTTCCTTATACTGCACGCTCGCTTCCGCAAAGTAAATATTTAATTTAGAGTTTTCTCTGAGTTTGATAACGTTCTTCTGTGTAGTTACTGGTGGTAAAACACCAATGGCATCCAGAAGTGTTGATGGAGCGGTAGTCACTCATGGTCTATATACTCAAGCGTCTCGTCCGCGACGAGACGAAATGAGATTTATAGCGCATCTGGCCAGCTTACCGTTTGTCCTTTCTGAACGTTTCTTTAAAAGCGCATTAACTAGCTGGTATTTGAGATAACATGGCTACAGATGTCATTCTACTTTTGCTGTTGGGCACTTCACGTAAACGTACCGGTGTTCCGGTTGGAGGAAAGATTGCCCGGATAAGTATCCGAGGCAAAGGTAGTCTTATTCCAATCGTCGCTGGACTTACTAGTGCTTATTTATCGTTCGCTGGTGCTGATTATCAACGGGCAAGTGTTCACCGGTACCAGTCGAAGGCATTGATCAAGATAGGAGTCATTATCACTAGGCATAAGCATTGTAGGCGACGCCTTGTATATCGTCGCTGGCCAAGATTTAAGAGGTTTTCTAAAAAGCATATTTACGTGACGCTGACGCGGCAAATTTGCAAAGCATAGGGTGGCAATATAGAGTTATTAAAGGAAGGTGACAAGAGCTTATATGGATAGACGTTGGCAGATATTCCTGATTTAGTTAAATATTTGCCATTTTTTCGTGTGGTCAAAATTAGTAGAGTGAAGATGCTGTTAGTTCCAGATATTTTGCAACATCCTCAATTACGAGATGTTAAAGCAAAATTGGCAGATACTAATATTATTCCATAAAATTGGAAAAGACCCGGATCGTAACTTTTCAACTGATGAAACTTGTATTCATATGAATGAAGCCTAAGGATTCATTCAGGGTGTATTCATATACGGTTAAGCCAGCAGTGAGGACTCATTCTGGTCAAAGAGATAATACGTTGAAAGCTAATAATCGTAAACCGCGTTGGCTTGATACAAAACGGGAGTCAAATTACGATACTTATAATTTTATGGTAATAGTCAATATGACTTAGGAATGTTTACTGTGGTAGGAACTCTTCGACATCTAGCTTCATCAACAATGGAAAAATATCAAGAAAGACTAGAAGCAACAGATATAAAATTAAAATATACTGTAATAAGTCGAATAACGTTTACTCGAATGAAATTAAAACAGTTTGGTTTGATTTCATACGAACACTAAATGCTTCTTTTATTTCGCCTTCTAATTCTTCAATATCATCGCATTCATATTCACACATATTAAGAAGAACCGGGGTAGTGTTCTAATAGAGGTAGAGTCGACGTTTAAGGGGAGTAGGACCATAACCGTGAAATTGTTAATATGCTCATTCTATCTAACTAGACCTCTCAGATATTTTCGATTATGTTTGCGGTATTTGATTTAATAGGAGTGGGAGACGCGTGCAAAGGCGATTTCGATGGTGATGGCGTTGGTGATGACGATGATGTATGCCCTGATAATAGACGGATTTATGCCACCGACTTTCGAGCTTATCAAACTGTTGTACTTGATCCCGAGGGTGATAGCCAAAACGATCCGCACTGGGTGAGTTACAGCGTTCTTAGATGTAATTGACATCAGTTTTTAATATTAGAATCTATGCTTTTGTCTTAGGTTTTATTTTGACTAAATACCCTGATTATATTTTTCGTATTCAGTAGATAAAAGGGTAACCTTGATAACATTTTTTTGATATCCAACACTTAGACCAAACCAAAAGTGCATGTATCAACGCAAAATATAAAACGGATTTCTCTAAGAGGCATTTCTTTGGTGAGCACTTCAAACTTATGAGAGACCTATTTTGGTTGCGCATACCATCGAAAAAATCGTTGCATAGAATTGAACCGCGCAGATAGAATGTTTTGTTTACGATAAAACAAGCAGTATAATTAATTATCGCAGCTACAATTCAATGTACAGGTACTACAAACATTTTGAAGAAATATTTTGATAATTAAAAAAATTAAAATACTAAATAAATATACTAAATAAAAATATCCGGATAAATGGGTGGAGGAAAATATTATAAGTGCTAAACAGGGAAGTAGAGTAGTTTTAAAACGCTAGTTGGAAACACATTTCAATGCTTCTCTAGTTTGAATTTTCAGAGCGGAGTACTCAATGAAATAAAAAGTATACGAGTCACCAAATCAATGACAAAGAAGAAAACAAAGTTTATGAATCGTTCTTACTATACTGATGATAGCTGTGAGTAAAGGAAGCCTTTGATCTTAATTCCAATAAATGAACATCTCCAAAGAAACCATAAACAAGCATCAGAGCAACAAGCGAACACTTGTAGTCTTAATTTCAAATTAATTTTAATACAAAGTATATCGTTCAAAATATAATCGGAGCTGAGCATCGGTTGCAGTAGGGTGAGAGAAAATTTGAAGAAAGAAACGTTAATTGCCATACAGTTAAAATGTGAACTAAGTTTTGATACCCGTTGCACTGCCAAACGTAGTATTACTAATTTTAAACAGAGTCTGGAAAAAGTGGCAAGTTGTAGGCACGAGCTCTGTAGAACTCTTTTCAGTGGGTGTAAAAAAAACTACCTGATTAACTTTTTGCAGGGCAACTTGCGCAATTTTCATAGGCTATAAAAAGCAAAGTCACCTTTCCCCATTGTCGCGAAAAGATGATTTTACTTTGTATAGCGATTTTATTATGTGGGATAACCTCGCTTAATCAATGTCAAGAGCCATATCTAGATCTCTGTAACAACTGTTTTAAGCATTTCTTAGCATCCGTCCCAGTTTCACCAAACATGTGTCATTGTAGCTGAGTCTTAGCCAATTCCGGGAAAGATGTAGAGATTAATGAAAGGCTGCACTTCCGTGTACGCTTCGCAGAGCCTGCTTTTTATAACAGAAATGCAGTTTTTGTTCATCTCCGTATTAGAAACCTAGACTCGTACTAAAACTCCATTCATTACACAGCGAATTATAAGAGACAAAATAAAAAAAGGAGGAGAAGGGGCACTTTCGAATAATATGTACGAGTAATATTTGAAAAGCGGCTTTTACTCGTTTATTTTAAGCTAATGAAACTGTACTTAAAGCGTTTTATAATATTAACAAACTTGATTAAGAGGCCTGTAAATAGAAAACCAAATTAATTCATGTGTGCCCTAGAAGGTTTGAATTAAAAACCGCTTTACATGATCTTGATGGACTATAAGTACATTTCTATATCTTTTGATAGTTGGAATAAATAAAGCCTTTATTTCTACGTAACAGTGCGATATTTACCAACTCTGCATAATATATTGAGATGTTTAATTTTGTCGGTCAAAAACTACAACGGAGTCCTCACACATCTGGATACAGGACGCGATTTTTGTGAGCCCACTTGGCCGTACATCAGTCATGTACGTTGATCACAAGTCTGAATATGCCCCAGCTATTATCCAAAACGAGAATCCACTTTCCGAAATTATTTGACTTTATAGGTAAAGGAAGTGTTCCCAGCGTGTCGCTTCTTTATTGGAAATATGCACGAATATTTTGATGATTGTGGGATAGAGGTGGTATTCTATTTTGGCTTGGCTCCCGGTAGCTTTACCCTCCTCTCTATTTTCCGCCAATGAAATCTACTGCATCCATTGCGCTTAAACATTTTTCTCGCCATGTGAAGTTAAAGGCTTTGTTTTTCTTGCCTTAGCCGGAATGGGTCAAAAATCGTTTAATAGCCCGAACATATTATATGCTGTTAAGGACAATTACAATCGCTCAGACAAGCACTGCGGATAATCATCTGACCGCTAAAATATTCAAGTTTAAACCGTTATAAACCGGCATCTTTAACACTTTCATCTTGGCAAAAAGTCTAAATCTCGACAATTTAATGTTTTGTTTAATGAACGTTTCAATTGAGTTTTTTATCGTTTCGACGGTCAACGGGACATATATGGATATACACATCTTCTATTGCAACCATCGCTTGCGAAAATAAATAAGCACATTTGCAAATGTGAGACTTCTTATTACTTACGATATGATTATGTGAACATTAGTTTGCGCGTATTATGGTTTACAAATCTATCATTGCTTTATCTCACTTCCATTCATTTCAGGATTAATGTTCACTCAAGTGACCTAGTACCATCTGTTTTCAATTGGTTAATTTACGTTAGTAAAAATTTTAATTGATGTGTGCGTCTCATGCAGATCATTTACAATAAAGGCGCGGAAATTGTACAGATTCTTAACTCAGATCCAGGACTGGCTGTAGGGTATCATAAATTCGGCGGAGTCGACTTCGAGGGGACCTTTTTCGTGGATACAGCAACAGATGATGACTACGTCGGCTTCATATTTAGCTACCAGGTATTTGTTATAACTAACAAGAAATAATGTGAAAATTATCAAGTAAATGATTATATAATATCAGAGGGTCGCATAGATTCTGACTTCTATACATCGGTTTTATACGTTTATACGCGTTATCGCAATACCAGATGGATCAATGTTTTAAAGCGCAAATATTTTTAATAGGATGAACATAACCGCGTGTTATGTAAAACATTTACTATACAATTTTTAAACTGAAGCCAGTAAATTGTACCTTCTTCATACAAAATCAATTCAGCAAAAACACTAAAGAAGATGCGGCTCATCGATTGCTATCAGGGATTTAAAATTAAATTCGTTCCAGGCAAAAAATTGCTCTGAGGGATTGAAAAGGGATGCTTTCGATGCTCAAAACAAAGTTCACTTTATTGGGTGGGGTATAAATGATATCATAAATGGTAAAATTCAAGAAAAATAAACGTGCTCTAAATAATGACGAGAACAAGTGGGCGGAATGAAAACAAACTGACCAGTAAATGACCATAAATGTGATTCATATTCATTTTTAGCCATAGCCACCATTAGCATTCATATATCGGAGCGTACCAATTAATGAAAAACTAAATTTGAAACTAAAAAGTTGTCCGTAGTCAGCCCGAATGATTTTATATGAACGAATTTTACCATTTCCATCAATGTAATGTGTCATACATAAGACACACTTCTCAAACTTAAAAACAGAGGTCACTGAATTAATTCATGCAGAACATACGTCGAAAAACCTCTACTTTAAGCATAAGAAAATCACGCGAAAATATCTGCAAGTAATATTCACATATTGTACTGGTTGTCAAGTAAATATTCAAACATTACCAAAAAGAGTAAGGTAACTTCTTAATATGCGACTTTCATCTCCTTAGAAAATATATCACAATTTCAATATTTTTAAAGCTATACATTGCGCTAGGCTACCAAACTGAAACTGATCACTATCTATCTGAATTTTTAACGCACGAAAATGCTTGGATCTTTTGAAATGGATCCTAGATCACATTCATAGTCATTAGGATAAGCATAATACACCTTAAATTGGGTTTTTACGTTTAGTAGAACCAAAGTGAGCTAAAATGCAATTTGTTTCGCAGTTTTCGATGGGTAAATACACGGAAAAATAGATGATTTGGTTGCCAGATTACCCAGTTTTTGTCATACGTTATCTAATAAATTTTGGAAGATTATAAAATAAAAATTATTATTTACTCGCGATTATATATTTAGAAACATAAATTTGAACAGCGATCGTCACATACCTAACACGAAAAACCAAAATACCCGTTCCGTCTATTTGATATATTCTCCTGTGATAAGTAAAAACTGGTATCTGTTGATCGCAAATGGGTACTGTCATCAAGATAGCAGGATGTGTTCTACTTTAATTACAGTCTGCCATAAATGCATTCATTAACTCCACATACATTGGAGTCATATGATGCTATCAATAATAATTAACGCTGTGCATAGGATAACCACAATTTCTACACGGTAATGTGGAAGAAGAAGAAGCAGATGTACTGGCACAGCACCCCGTTTCGTGCGACGGCTCAACCCGGCATTCAGTTAAAACTTGTACAATCCGAGACTGGCCCAGGAGAGTACCTCAGGAACTCGCTATGGCATACCGGTAGAGTGATTTGCAGAATAAATCATTACATGACCGTTATTTATGACGTCCATTAATAATATAAAATGAAGCCTGTAGGAAATCATTGCCTATATATTGGACAGAAGTGTTAATTTCTTTGTTACCGGAAATTTGTAATTAGGTTTCGTATCTTTACTTCTACGAAACCTATGTCTTAAATAATGCTATTATCACTACCTATTCAATTAACATTATAATTTTTGTTGGCTTAATTTTTTTAGACAGATATTTGCATATTTAGTTAGATCTCCTCTTTTTCAGCGACATTTAATTTATCTCGAAAGATATAAGTCTCGAATTATATTTTTTCTTTCAATAGCAATAGATGCTTTAATAGAAATAATTAATTTTCTAATGTAAATAAGTCTTGTTTTTTATTATATATATAACTTGACGAGATAATTATCGATTTTTCTTTTTGATAAAAATTTAAGAAAAATTAATGTGGTAAAAAATAACAGTGAGGACCCACAAACTGGATCTTTTGCAAAATCTTAACATAACTTCAAAATAGCTAACCGTAGCTTAGTTGAAAACATCAAAATAAATTGATTTCATTTTGTTGCAATGTATTAAGCTATACTTGGACATTATAGACTATGGTAGATGACGATTGGATCAGGATTATTGCTTATGAGTATGCTAAGTTGTTTCTGTGTTTCCAGTAATAATTTTTATGTATAGTGTTTTCCTCGACAATCGGTGGGAACTCGTTTATGCATAAAAGTTGCTATGATTTAAAGTCATACACAGTAAGCATAGCACTAGATTAAAAAAAGAGTTTGTCATTGACGTGCAACAAGGCATTCCTTTATGAAAGAAACGGTCAGTGAAACGTGCTTGCGTCAGCAAACGAATTAATGATTAGAGAATGCCATAACTGCGTAACACAAATAATAAAGCTGCGCCCATGCTCAAGTAAAGAGGATAGTGACACATATCGAATTACATGCTTTAATTTTTAGGTTATTTTTTTTATTTTTAGGAAATCATTTGTTGGTCATCATTCGTCAAAAACTCTGATGTAACGATTTATCCGAGATCTTGAAAATTGTCAAAAAGATTCGTAAAGAGCTATTTTTCGAAAATTGGAAAAATTTTAAAATAGGTGATCTATCTTTCAGTAAGAAAGTGCCTCAACTAGTTAAACATGAAAAAACTTATTTACTACAAGACTAGTGAAACTTCTACGGTGAATACACTTCGAATTAATTATGATCAAACAGTGATAAAAACATTCCAAATAATATCTATGAGGGAAAATCTATGATCATTTTTCTTAAAATCTCCAATACCATAGTGAAACAGCCTTATCGAATAAGTTATGTTTTAGTCCTCTCTCCAAATCAAAGGTTTGTCAAGATCTTGAAAACCGCTATTTACAAAAATCTAACCAGTTTGTGCTTCTGGCGGGTTTTGCCATGTTTTCTGAACGTCAATACTTTCGCCTTCCGCATATGGACAACCATGTCCTTCTTCCGTAGGATTACTTTGGTGATGCAAGCGTTTCCTATATGCACGTTCTATCCCGAACGCCACAGTAAAGCACTATACATAATATTGTAAATAGAAATTTCACTATGGTATTAAAGATTACGTTATTTTTTTAAACGAAAAATGTTATCGCGAAAATCTGATAGTGATGTCACTTTTTGGGTCATAGGTTTATGAATGACGCTCTGTGGGTCCATTTGACTGTCGATAGTTTGGACTTCTTACGTCAGTAAACATACTAAGCAATCGAGAAATTTCTTTTTCTTCAGTGCGACAGGCTGAGCCAGCACTATCATTTAGTACTCTTGCATGTCAATGGTTGTAGTAGTTGAATTATTATTGTCGTTCCACAGCAACAGTGAAAGCTTGAACCTTTTCAGCAGTGCATTTCTCTCACAGGTCCTCTAAAGTCCACGAGCAGCTTTGCATGGCCTTTTCATAGTCTATTAGCACACTCTGTAAATCATATTCGCTTGCACACGTTTTATATTATTCATATTTGAAGTATTATAGTTTTTTTTTTTATTACTGAAATGTCCTAGGATGGCCGTTTTCGCGATTCCTTCTTTATGGCTTGGAAAACTTTTTTTTTGTGTGAACCTGTGTAAGTAACAGGTAACTAAGACACAGATGACCTTATGATTTTAATGATGCTCTTTAACCATCTGAACTAGTGTTTCTCCTTCCCGCACTCTATCGTATTCGTTACTATAGCCACATAGGTAAGCCGTTCGTAGATCTGTACCTGTCTTCCCTAATATTAGTTGACCGCTGCCGCTGTTCCCTGCGATACCCTGCAGTGCTGTCGCCTAGCTATAGAAGCCCAAAATGCCATATAGTCACGGTTCCTTAAATAAGTATCACTTAATAATACCGAGAATATTTTTAGTTTGCTGAGTCGAGAGAGTATATTGTTTAGCACAGACATGAGGTATCTGTGTAGCACCTTAGTTAGTGCTTGTGGGTTAACAATAAGTCGTATTTTACGTCCAGTTCAATGTACGTCGATAAGATTTGCCACCCGTTCCGTGGGCTGGCTTACCCTTTTACTGGGCTGAATTACTTCCAGTTCTTCACCAGCTTTTTAATTTAATCCACAATAACTTGCACAAAACCAATAAGTGAAACCCGTGGTGGTTGTTAGGCCGCCCTGCCTTCTTCCTTATTTTTTATTTTGATTGTTTTTGACCGGTTGTCGCAGTTAGTTTAGATCCTCGAGCACGTCTTTGTATTCATCGACAAGATGTTTCGAAGCTGTCTTTGCCTTGCTAAATCGCCATAATTACGCCTGTTACGACACTTGTATGACTTTCAGTTCGAGACATGTATTCGCCGATAGTAAGGCTTGTACATATTTGTCGACAATTGGAAAGCGATTGCTGCTTAAATCATGTTTGTCCTGACCACCGATCAGAAGGGTAGTTTGAAGTAACCATTTCTTGTTTCAATAACTCCTTACTTCGAGGTAATAGAAATTGGAACAACAAGACTTGCGTCTACGACGATCTAAGCACAAAAGAGAACGATTCAGTTGTCTGACTGCTGAAGCAAAACGTTAATTACTTCGTTTAGATCACAGTGTAACACGATTGTGCGTGCTCCTTACGCCAGTTGTTTCTTTAACGTCTGTGGTTCTAATTGAGGTACTTTCTTCATGACATCTGTATTCAGCTCTAAACAGTATAGTATGTCAAATTCTTCTGGAAACAATACCGACAATGCCAATAAAAATCCCCGAAACTCAATAATAGTTTCTGCCAAGAGATTCAATACTTTTAGACTTATGTTGCTCTGTCTGCTTTGGGTGCCCACATGTAATGTTCTACAGTTTCTTTAGTACACAGTAGTTTTTATTTACTAAACGGAATTTGACGGGAAGTTTGCAAACTACTTAAATGTGCAACCGACAAAATCGATGTGTCAAACCATAGAGCCATTTCATAGATAAAATCGATTTTAAGTAAAACGCCGTGGGGATTCGTTGATGTTAAAGTTAGATACGTTTAGTTAAGAATATATATATCGACACGCTTGAGGAAACATAGTCTAGACTTACGTGAAAGATTACGTCTACAACTGGTATCTTATTAGCTTCCTCACTGATGGTGGTGTTGCACTAAACAGAATGCGTCAGGGATGTCTCTGACAGCAGATTCAACAATTGTTATCCGAATATCTGTCTTATTTTATATTATATTTAATTTTATTTCACAAAATAAGTAAAATTCTCCAGATTTTCCGTTGCCGCCATGTAAAAGGTAATAATCTATACAAATTTTGTCCAGTAAAACGGCTAACAAGATTATCCCATTTTAGTGAGGACCGTATATATAAAAAAAGGACGAACTTTCTCGTTCTCTCGACTCTAGTTGTTCCAAGGACCCTCTGGCCTGAGAAGATTTTTCCTCAATTTATCTGTTTTGTGGCAATTTTGTTTAAAAAATTGTATAAGCATAAAATAAAGTAATCGATACATAGAACAAACCCGCTTAGTCTCAGTACAACCTATTGACAGCCTATTGTTAACCAAGTAAAATTCAGTAAGCTTAAAGCGTTTTATTGCTGTAGTAAACCTCTACAGTTTTAACAAGCTTAAGGTTTAAAGAATAGGAGAAAAATTTAATCTAATCCACATGTCATTGGATTTGAGGACCGATGAGCTATGATCAGGTAAAAATAATGATAATAATAATGTAATAAAATATGTAAGCTTATAAAGTTCAAACAACGACAAAGCGTACACGGCAACTCTGTAGATTATTATTGCCAATGACTAGAACTTCTACTCATTGCAATAAGACTGGCTTATTAAATTTCCTAATACAGACAGTCTCAACGGAATGACTTCCAGGCCTCTGAATGACAGATTCTGTGGGAACGCCACATACGCCACGAATTCTACATATAAATCTGTTGTGGATTCCGAGCACTGCTTAAGTGTTTTTCTTTAGATAGGGACGCCACATCTCCGTGCATGTATGTATTTGGGCTTCATTGGTCTATTATATAGTGTCACATTGAAATCGACTTCTTTAATTACGATACTGTATTGGAAACCATATTTTGCGAGCCTTGGAATTTGTTTTGTGTCATTTAAAATCTAAAACAGAATTAACAAATGCTCAGAATCCTGAATTAATTGAACTTTGAGGACAGAACCATCATTAAAAATATTGAACAAATTGGTTATAATTAGAAGAGGCAACTACTTATTTTAGTACCATGATTAATACGTCGGTTGTGCTTGCATCACTTCGTATCGCATCTATCGCAGAAATGTTTTTTCATCGTACAGTTACAATTAACTTGGCGGAAACCCCTACAGAATCACTTACTGAACTCAGCTTACCATTCGTCCTAACTTTGAATTACCTGCGAATCAGATGGCTGCGCAGCTTGTTTTATTTCCCATTTTAAGGTTATATGATTTTGACATTAGCCGTGAGTGGAAAACTTAATTGAACGCCTTCAGAAGATTGAAATAGACACATCCAAGTGACGTCTGCTTTTAGAAACGCCTAGCCCTATCACTAGCTGCGACGCTTTATGGCATTGTGTTGCTCGTAAAATAACAATACCAAAGTGTAAGCAAAGATGTGATCAACTATAGCTTTTTCGAAAATACTGCAGGCAGTCGAGTCTTGGGTCTTAAGCCTACGGTTGTTGATGCCAGATCTCAGGTAAAAATAACTTTTTAAATATTTGCCGTTCCAGTTCAGTCGCTGAACAAAGTTCATTTACACGCAACAGTGCAAAAACAGTTGATATTATGGGAAGTAATATTAACATACAAGAATCATCACACGTTTAAAGTGAATCGTGCTGGCTACCTTTCTCTCTTTGATATTGTTTTAGGTGCACCTCACTAGCGCCATGTCGTTTCTATAATTTTCTAAAATTTTTTGGAGTTTTGTGTTACTGTTTTTCGGGCCTGTTGACATGTTTGACTGGGTTCCTGGTAAATTGCTTGTTAACTGTTATTAATTTTTCATTGTTTCCCAATTTTGTTCTAACGCTTGATATAGTTCCATTGCCTCGTGGTCCCGCCTTGTCCTCGGCTGCTATATGACTTCTGACAGGTACTGCTATTTCAGATTGTCGTTCTGCTTGGGCCACTGTTGGGGCTTTGTATATTTTTTTACTGTTTATCGTGTTAGGTGTCCTGATTTTAGTCAATCAAAATAAGTACACGGGTGCGACGCAAAAAGAGTTGTAGTTGTAACTACGTGTTACAGTAATGAATCATTTTGGACTAAGCCCTGCAGCGAATGACTACGCAGAATGAGGAAACCTAGGTTTCCTACGAGGAATCGAATCTATAATTTAAGACAAAACGTTACCTTTATATAAATATTTTAAATATTGTATTATAGTCTGCTTCAATGTAGATAACTAGTTTACTTAAACAGTGTACTATTGTTTCTCCTAGTAACATTTGATACAAAATATGTCAATTTATATGTTAACGAAAATTAATTTTAATCGTATTCTAAAACATTGAAACACAAAACCTGCTTCATTGATAAATTGAGAAATTTAATTTCAAAATTTCTACGTGCGCTCTATTATATCAACCTGTAATACAAATTGATCAACTTTTTGCTTGGATGCATGATGTAGTAGCCACCTGTAAATAATTTTTATATGAGCGCCGCTGGAGTTAACCCACCTTGCGCTGTAGACACAATTCGCATTGATGCGAATTGCCTATATATGTCTATAAAAAGATACTTGCATATGATAGTAGTAGGACTATAAATAACTATATCTATAAGCATTTTTAGGCGCTTCATAAACCATATCCTCTAATAGTGGCTATATATAAGATAAAAAGTATAGTAGATGAAAAGTATTGTAGATAGGAAAATTAACAACTAAACCGATAAGTATTATCTATTCAAGGTAATACAACAAACCAGGTCCAGTTGTTATGGAAAGACCCTCGCAATGTTGGATGGAAAGAAAAGGCTGCTTACAGGTAACATGAACTTATGTATCATATCGGTGCATCAGACTATTCATGAATCATACAAGAGATGGCGTATTCTAGGATAGTATACATGGATATTGTAGTTAGTGTTGTAATGTGATTTGGGTAATTCGGCTGCAATTATTCTGCAGCTTATTATATTCAAATAAAATATAACTCCTAAAAATCTTCGTAAAACTTGCATTATCTGTTTTGAGAATAAGAACATGGAGGTAAGTGCGAACTATTTTTAGTAAAAGAGTAAAAAAGTAACTATCCTTAATGTTCTTAATATAATTTGTGGCATTGTTTTTTGGTTAATCTAAAAAGAGACCCAGCTTTTCACTCATTTTTACAATAAAATCGTAACGTCCAGCATTCACACATGCTGGCGAAGCTCATCATTTGGCTGCTCTATGCTTTTTCAAACTCCTGTGATTTTTTTAGCCCATTCTGTGGTATTACTCTCAATGGAATTCCTTTTGCACATCCTAGAGAGCTGTCATCAAGTCTTGTCCATATACTAGTTCTTTGACGGCCTAATATCCGTGCTTCCCTTCTAAACACAGTAGTCAATCTTACGTCGTTGTCTCCGTTCCTTTGACTCATTTAATCGATTTGCTACATGTCAACTTGTCGCGCATGAATCTTCAAATCACTAAACGAATTTTTCTTTTTTTTTTGGAAACTTCTTTTTTTAAAATTGTTTTGTAAACAATCTTCAAATGTATTTTTTTAACATATTATCTAATAAAACGCTCAAGGGCTCTTCCTTGAATTGTGGTGTCCTAAGATACCTACGATATTTTCCTAAACCTGATACCTAAACTCTGTCACGCGCAAATCTGAACTGTACGCAGAGAGTGTTATCAAACTCTTATGCCCTTGTACTGGGCCGCATCGCGAAACTGATAAATCTGATTTTAAATCGAAAGTACGAGATCCTTTCAATTAAGTCTGAATCGCGTGACTGCAAAGAAATCTGTGATTTGTGCGAACCGACATAGCCGCCCTTTCCTCAAGCACATGGCATGAATCTATGTTCGAATTCACAGGTGTAAATACAACTGACTATGCATCCACTACAGTTTCTCTTTCCTGTTCAAGTGTTGCCCCTTAGCCGGTGGTTCCTTCTATTTGCCAACGGAACCGGGGTCGGTAACGTTCGTTCGGATGCCAAAGGATCGAAAGCCAATCCGTAGTTTGGAAAATTCCACCATTGGTATAGCCACTGGCGAGACCAGACCCTCTTTTTTCAGTTGCGCGCATTGTTAACAAACGTGTTCACTTTAAGAACCGCTCTAAATAACGCTACAGCTCCGCAGGACAACGATGGTTACTAGGTTAATTTTTTTATGGGTACGCCGCTTCACAACATAAATTTTATTGATCCTTCTCTCTGTTTATTGATGACGGTGACGATAGAAGCTTGTACTGGACATTTTCTAGTCTTCAAGTACTATCGCTAAACCATATATAAACTAACTAAATCTAAAAACCTACTCTAGATGTGATTACAGCACTAATAAATCTACCAATTTTCTCATCAATGCGTCTATTGTACTGCTTGTTCCAAATGTATAGGTTATACAAACCACTACCGGAAACGAATAGAGTGTTTACTTCTGCGTTTGTTCATCCGTAAAGCCCGAGCGTACGATGCTGACAAATGCTGATAAATGACAGTATTCTATTAGAAACACAGTATTCTATTACATTTGCTTCGATGGCTCCATACGTTTATTAGAATGATTAAAAAATCATTATTGGTGTACATTTTGGAGCTACCGCTGTTCATATGAGAGCGGCGTTTGGAAGCTTAGCAAAAAACATCTCAGCGGAGATATAGTAAGTGGTGGGTCGTCACTGGCGAACATATTGTGGAAAAGTTGGTTAGTAATCAAGGTAAAGTACGGCTCTCCTGCTCTTAAGTGACTTGCTGAGTTATAGTGCAGTATCACTCTAATATTGCTGAACCCTGCGATTTACATTACGATGGACCACCTGTTTGTAAACTGGGTGTGGAAGAATTGCTGCTCATCTTGATGTGATAAATTTAGGTATATTTTTTAGCAACCGTGAAAAAAGTTTGATGAATGCTATACCTTCTAGCCTAAAAAATTTATCCAGCCCTTTGATCCAAACGGTTGTATACGCCAAATACAGAATCAAATCGATCGTATTGGTTTCAAGTAAATTAGCTTTCAAGCCACCGCAATTTATCTGTTATTTTCTTTGAAGTAATGTTTTTTTTATCTAATAAGCTGCTTGAAGTCCAAATATAACTACATTACTGAAAAAAAAACGCTATTGTTTTTTGCAAACACCTTGCTTGCTTATCAGTTGAGTTTCTTACACTGATAGTTGTAGGATCGTATGCGAATGGTATTTCAGCTGACTTATTTTGGCAGACTACGATCAGCCCGGTCTGTAGGATACTTGAGCCCGATGTCGCAAATTACAAGCCTTGATCTAAATATTCTGGTGCTTGTAATACCTCCAAAAAATGTTGGCGACTCACACTTGAAAATTCTTAAACAAAACATATTTACAATATCCCACAACAAGGTTATATCATCTCTACACAGCTACTAAAGATGTGTCAGGACAAGTCCATTATTGTCCATGCACTTTTCCATAATACATATTTTAATTAGAAAAGCGCTTTCAACTGAATATATAATAGCCAGCTACCAAAAAATATATGTAGGTATTCACAACGCCACTTTCAAATGGTTCTGCTATTATTTATCGAACCGCTCTTAGCGAGCTAGTCGCCAATAACATAAGCCAGTCTTATCCAGTAAGCCCTAGCATCTTTCAAGGAATCCGCGTTTTTCCATCGTTATATGCTTTATTTTTTTGCCTACTAAAGGATGTAGAGCACCTCAAATAAGTTGCTGTTTTAAAAACCTATTACGCAATTGCGAATCACTGTCTTCATGAAATGCTTACGATGGCACCGTTCGTTGGTGTCATAAAGGCGGAATGCGTTTTTTAAATCAAAAGTGAGTAGTTCCAGGAATCGAGCCTCTGATTATAGCTATGAAATTGGTGGTGTTACGTTTGCTTCTGTCGCCATTACAAAAGGTTCACCCACGCAAATGGGTGCTTAATTTGATTTTAATGAACACTCAACAAAGCTTCTTAAATCTACAAAGATTTTCTAAACTTTAATATAAGAAATTGCAAAGTTGCTGCTCGTTTTTTTAAGTTATTTCATGTACTCTAGTATGGACGGCTTGTATTAAAAGATAGTAACCAACCTGTTTGAAGATGTTCAAATACTTTCTAGAAAACTTCCCTAATGTTGTGCGTGCGAAAGAAACAGTGAATTTGGCATCCATCACTTCACTTTTGCAGGACCACGCGCTTTTGAGCCAATCCTAATAGTAAACTACTTTTCAATATTAGACCAAATATTTTGTAAAGCTAGAATTTCATTCAGCTTAAGCCGATAACTCACGTTTGTTGCTTACAAATAATGACGCTATCTTCTTCACTTGTGCAAAAATTCCTGGTAAATAAATTCTGTAAGTTGTAGTAATTTCAATTGTATTTCACAAGAAAACTTTTTATGCAGGATCTCTTAATGACTACCGTTAGTTTGAAGCCGCTTGTAATGTATTAAAGTAAAATTATTTTTTACCTCCCCTAGGTGGTTGCTACTTCATCGCCCCAATATAGGCCTTATACGACTTAGGATCTTTGAGGGACAGAATATGGTTGCTGATTCAGGTAAGTTGTCTAAAGATGTCTAATTACTGTAACTACATCCTCCAAACTCTATAGAGAACATTATATGCATTTTATTGATCTTCGATCTAATATACAACAAACAGTATTATGGTTTTACTCGAGTGGCAAAGAGATATAATGTAGGTACTCACATGTCGGGAGCACTTTTGCCGCACTTCTAGTATGTACTCGACACAATAAAGCGAAGACAATAAAGTTCAAGCAGTCTAAATTGTGGCTGTAAAATATCCGGACGTCTAACGGAATGCAGGATTGTAGCCGTTTATTGTAGCCGCCAGAGTTCCCATAGCACTTCTGGTTCATACAGATTCTGGCAACTGTTATATGTAACCTTTACTATAAGTTAAGACTGCTCATTATAACGTTTTTCTATTTGACTGCTAATACCGCTCCGCTGAATAAGGTTAGGGCTAGCATTTTGATGCAGGTTATGGTTGTACGACCATTGTATAATGCTTCAAGTATTTCTTTTGCCATTACGGCTAGATAACAGCATCATGATGCGGTCATCATATTAGTTTAGCTTTTTCATCAATATAGAGTGGCAATATTTCGTCTCGCATTTGATAAAGCCAGTTACTCGTGTGAAGAATCTTGACAGGTATATGTAATAAAATAAATAATAATAAAATTTAAGAAATAAAGACCTTTAAAATGTTTCTTCTATTACGTGGTTTGCTGTTGTCAGAAATGTTGCGAACGTTCTCATCACAAGCTTCGCAAAGGCTTTCAATACTCGCGATCACTTTATTTTCAATAGATTCAGCGGACTTCGTTTCTATTCCCAGTATGTTTGTACTGCAAATCAATGATTTAATCATCATTAATGTCGTTCCATGAGATGATCTTCAGTTCCGCCGATAGAGTAGTTTATAGTTGCAGTTGTGTCTGCGAAGTGGTGATCATAGATGTATAATCCTTTTTTTTTAAGTTTTTAAATGGCATACATTGATGCCAGAGCTTCTGCTCTTTGGTTGTGCCTTTGTTTGGCCACAATAGTTTTTAACTTCTTTTACCACAATGTGCTCCGTTCAATTCAGTCTGCGGAAACGAAAATGTGTGAAATTTGATATTAGGTACTTTCACTCTTTTGAAGTGTGTCTGGTCCGGTTTTTAATCTAGACAGTCTTATGTGTCCTGAGTTTAACGGGCGGATACATTATCACTGCAGTATTATAGATACTGCAGGCGCTGCTTTCGCTAGAACTTCCAGCGGCAGTAGCGCCTACAGTACACCAACTGTATGAATGAAATGTTAGGTTGGTAGGAAGGAAAGAACGCTTGCAATTCAAATCATTTGGTAGCGCGTCATTTGGTAGCACGCGGAGTTCGGAAAAGTTCTATTTGCATAACTAATGAATCTGATATATCCGATACGTATCCGTCATTGCATGCTTCATGTTTTTATGTTCATTTTAATGCGTTAATACTTAACAATTTCATCGCACCAGCTCTTGATTTACCTATGGTACGGAAAATATATTATGCTATACACGACTGGACTATCCTTCCTGGTACACTTGGTGGCGTTTTGAAAGTCTCGGTATTTTTTTGCATAGGCTTGTCACGTTTCTTCATAAAGATATCAATCTTCTTGGGTATGAAAACCACTAGATACACTAATTACTTTTTCAGACCTAGTTTAGTTTGTTTTTCCATCGTTCTTTGGAAGATGCCTAAATATCGACGTCGTCGAATAAATCGCAGTATGCTGATAGCCGCTTTGTTAATCGAAACATATATATCTATAGTGTGTGCACCCTAGCAATTTTAGATACGGGAGCAGGAATAATATTTCTTATTATAAGTTCGTATTATAAGATTGTAAATGGGTAAATTGTACTCAAAGGACAACTCATTACCTGAAGAGGGTCATACCACACCAATATTTTCTACGTCTTCAGACGTTGCCAATTACTCACTTCAAAACAACAAGTTGATTTATGCGTGCGCCACCGTGCCAAAGCTATAGACTATGTGGGAACGTAAATTCACGTGATTCATTTATTTCAGATTAAACTATTTTTATGTTGAATTATATACGCATTTAGATGGGTTCCTTCTTACAACAAGTTAGACAAAAATATTTTTTATATAAAATAATAAAAATATTCTCTTTATTTTTGGAATGTTTTTCTCTTTACTTAGGTATATGTTTTAGATTTTCTGCGGAAGTTCACTATTCTAAATATCATAAATGTTGCTGATATAGTCTTTACTGGTGAACCTTGAAATATACTGCTGGAAATTCCTTGTAGACGAGGTTTGTTGTGTTAAATACAAGATTAATGAACAATTAATAGGCTGTATTTTATAATACTTTCAGGAAATATTTTTGACGACACCCTTAAAGGAGGCAGGCTAGGAGTGTTCTGTTTTTCTCAGGAGAGCATAATCTGGTCCGATCTTGTGTATAGGTTAGTAAACGCTTTTTTCTTTTTAAACTTTCTTTGAATACTTGTGAGTACATAATATATCTTGTAAGTACGTGAAGTCATCCTACTATCGACAATTTTTTTCCTATATTCTAAATACCTTGCAATATATAGAAAAACGCACTTAGTTTTTTTTAATACGGCACCATCTCTAATACCTTCTAAGAGTCGAAGATCAGATATTTCTTCATTGTTTGAATCATAAGCACAGAAATATAAGCGCAATGTATGCTGGATTATTTTCTTATACATCTATTGTATAACAGTGGCATATAGTTTTATGTAAAATAAAAGCATTCATTAAATTAGTCTACAGAAGTGCAGCGTTTCATTCATTTCTGTTGCAAAATTGTGGGTCTGAATTTGAGAGTTTTCTGGTTAATTTTAAAGACGCTATTCATTGTCACGAACTTGATTTCACAATAACCTGAAAAGTGGTCATCCGCGGGAATAAAAGTTGGATATTGTACGGTGGGTACAAAAGAACCTTCCACACCAGCTCTCGCAAAAAGAGAATTTAAAGATTTTTAAATGCGTAGTCTGTGATCATCATGATGATAAAAGCTTTTGCTTTGTCTTTTCTATTGCAACCCTTATTTGCTTTATGCAACCCGGTCATACACAGTCACTGACCATCTTGTTTTCCTCAAACATCTTCTAGTAATAATACAAATCATTATATCTTTCGGAATCAGTTTCAGCGCTATCTCCTATCTCCGAAGGCCACCTATTTGTTTTTTTTTTACTGACATAAAGATACCTCTTGTCGCCCGTAACTACTTTGTGTAAGGGCATGTCATTAGGGTCGCGTTCTTCGTGTCGAGGGGTAAAAAAGCTGTGTTCCTATGTTCTTTTTGATCAGTTTATTAGCCACCCAGCCTTTCAATTTTCGAGTACATCTTCCAGGCTCGATGTATTGCATTTGAACCTTGCGAACTGTTTTTCTTATTTTTGAAGAAATTTTGATTAGCCCCCTTAATTATGGAATTCTCGCCGTACATGGTACAAATATCCGGGCTGCCACGGTAACCTTTGGCTTCGAATATACATTTTAGTAGTATATCGTAGCGAACAAACATTGGAGAGCAAAGGACAAGGAAACACTTGAAAAAGGTACACAATACATTTTCAACTACTTAATAATATTTAAACATTTACAGGAATTTATTTCTAGCACAGATCTAACTGTAATGTGTATCAAAAATTCGTAGAAAAATTATATTTAGTTTTTATTGGTTCATTAGTAAAACGATAAAGTTCTTGAAACAGAATGCAGCATATTCGGTGACACATTTAAACATATTATCTCACCCCGTACACACAATCCAAAATTTAATTGGTTGCGTATTACGACCTTCTTCACCTCTTCTGAAGTTCAAACTATTAACTACTCGTCAAAAGATCATTTCCTCCCTATCTGAAAATATACAAAACACTGCTGGTATTAAACAAATATTATGGGAAATACTTCAGGAACAATTTTCACATCCACCGAAACTCTTTTATGAGCAGAAACAAGGGTCTAGTAGATAGCTTTCTGTCTACCCGAAACCTTTACTGTCCGTAGATTGTTAGTTTACATAAAAGCTTCTAATAACTGAAAAAAAAAATTTTTAAAAAATAATAATAATAATAATCCTGAAAAAGTGGGTGCAGCTAAGAGCAGTCTTGTATCTGATATGCATGATTCAGTTTTAGAAGTGATTCGCATCTGCACGGTCAACACTGACTTCGGTTACATCCGTCAACCGATGAGATATTCTAATAATAACAAGATTGGACTAAATTATAGAGAGTTCGATAATTGAATTAAGTGAACGTTTGTTCTAGTCAGCTATTCATAGCTTCTTGGACGAGTTGCGTCTGCGCCTCCAGTGAATGGCAGTTAAGTTGGAATCTCTAGAGACCGTCACTTTGTAGCTTTCATCCGGCCTGCTAAATCATCAAGCCACATCTATTTTCACAATCTGCCTTTGTTCTTCCAACTTTTCTTTACTCAGAGCTTAAGCTTATGTAGAACCTTTGCTGTACTACAGCGTTCTTTAGGCGACTGGGTACCTCTTGACATATAGTAATATAACTAGCAGCGTTTTTAACATCGGTTGCTATTTCGATTTTTTGCCTTCAACATGTTACCGATATATTGGGCAGGTCATTGTATTCGCCATGTGACTCTTGCCTTATGGGTGAAGTACTCTTCCTTTGCGGTTTGTTCTCCGGTATAACTATTGAACAAATATTCAATAGTTATACCGGAGGCATATACTACTCGTCAGATTCGTCTCCGTTACAGTCGCATGCCCAGTGTGACGTTCAGGTAGTTGAAGCATCACTGTAGTTCAGCGAGTGTTTTTACTATGCCCTTAACAGCAGCCGATTCTTCTCAGCATGGGTGCTTCTCTTCTAACCCATTTACCTTATCCTTTAAGAACTCTGCCAGCTTGTCACGAATCTTCTCAGTAGTGCTGGTGGAATCTGAACCTTTGACTTGTATAAAGGCCCGTAGTCCAACTCTGCCAAGCCTCCAGGTTAGCCACAGTGTTCACTTTTTATATAGTCGTTTTTTTGAATCCGGCCTTAACCTACAGTAATTTCGTTTTTTTTTTTAAATTTGGGAGATCTTCTTTACATGTATATCTGAGCAGCCGGGATCAATGATCTGCCTGCTGTTGTGTCACTTGTTTGCTTAGGGGCCTTGTACCGTGATTCATACCCACCCAGGGTCTCTTACCCTGGTCACCGTATTCCGTGCATAAGATAGCTCAATACTGACCTGCAAGAAAAACTATCATCTTTTTTCTGTCTATTTTTCTTCTTCTCATTAGACATATAGAGGCAGGCCATAACAAATGCGGCCTGGCCTATCACATCATAAAGTCCACCTGGTTAACATTGGAAAAGTTTCTAGTTTCGCTATTCGACAGTTGGTAAGGTATTCTGTAAGGTTACCTAGCTTTAAACCTCAAAATTGTATGAATTAGTCCCACTTCACTTTTACCACTGTGACGAGTAAATTAACGTAGTGCTCAGTTAATGAGACGATTACTCTTGTGTCGAGGCTTCCGGCTGTATCTTACCACGTTAATAGCGCGTCGGCAGTACAGCGGTGTAACTATAATACGTTTATCAATATACGTTTCGTTGAACTATTAGCTTTCTGCTTTTACGCTGATCTCCATACGGATATCTCGTTTCGATATTTCATTTTGTGCTTTTGTTTTTTAGCTATGCTCTAGCTCATGGGGCAAGCAAAGGCTAAAATGATTCTCCATGGAATCGTCTGGCTCCTATTTACGTCTCTATTTGTGAAGTCTATTTACGTCACAAAAGAGTTGGCAGGTAGCATCAATAATGCTGATTTTATAATTCTAGAGCCTTAGTACGATACGCTGGGGAACACCTTGATTAAGACACGGAGCAGTCGTTACTACTTTTCACTTAAAAGGGTTGTGGGGTTGGTCACGTCTGGCAGCTCTCGTCAGAGACGCGCTAAAAACTTGTTATCCGTATCGTACTTCGTCGTCCACGATTACAATCAGAGTGGGTTCTCCAAAGATTGTTTAGTGCCACTTTTCGCGTGTGCATATCTTAATCAGATATGTAATATCCCCGTTATGTTGTTTACATTTTTCGCTTTATTAGATCTCGAATTAATTTCTTTAGGCTGTTTTGATTGTAGAACGCTCTCACGTAGACTGTTTGGCTCTTTTCCTTTATGTACGGTTCTTATCGTCCTTTTTTGATCCTGTGTTCAAATGCTGCTTCCACCATAATATGTGCCTTTTTGGATTCCTCCACTGTTTCCTTAGCGTTCGATTGAGGGCTGGGAAATTCCACTATGGCAACGTTTTGAAGACAAACCTTGGAGGTTTTTCCATGTTATAGAAAACACTCTGTCTTTTTGTCGGCCGGTTTGTTCATATTACGGGTTTCATACGGTTTGTTCATATTCGATCTTTTTTCCCTCTACGTTTCTATATCCTGCCCCACCTACTCGTGCCTTTTGGTCAATACAAAATAGGAGGGCCAAAACGTTCTACAGTGTTTCCCCATTCCTCACTAAAGCTTAAAAGGCACAATTTAAGCGTTAAATTCCGAAGTTTAGCACTTTTCCCTACTCCTCGTGTGGCAGGCTATTCGATGAAATACCCCGTGGTATAAAGTTCTTCCGAGGATTCGTGTTGGTTCTGAAGACGGGCAATTTATTATTCGCTTCTATTAAAACTGAGATCTCACTTCTTAAATACTTTACCTAAGCGATCGACCTCTCTCCGTGCTCCTGTTCTAAGTACATACTTTTTTCATATATATTATGTTTGTAAAACAGCCTGGAAACACATCTTTTTCGATCACTTTTACCGAGGATCTTCTAAATACGTCCGCACAGCTGATCATTTCTTTACTAGATTTACTATAAATAACTAATTTCCGTGCACCGCGTTTATCTGTCGTCACTGAGTCTTTAACGAAGACCAATATTCCTTCAACACAATGAAAAAAAGAACTGAGTGACATTGATCAAAACATGTTTTGATTCCCCAGCCTTGATATTAGGTTCTTGGTGACGCCTCTGGTAAAAATATTCATTAGAACCGTCAGTAGTTATTTCGTTTCGCCGTGCATGGTTTTTATTGCATGCACTGTGCACGTATAGAAACTGCGAAGAAATTAGTGAAAAAAGCTTTACCTGTTAACTTTGTCAGCCTTCTTCACTACAGATTACTTTTTAAAATATTCAAACAGAGGACCTGTAAACCGTTATGGTTGTTACTATTATATATATCAACCTTTGAGCAATAAATAATACTTTGTAATAGCGTAAATTTTAGGTATAACGAGACGAAAAGTCATAACTGTAAAAAAATATGTGAGAGGCCAATGATTATTTCTAAGCGAGTGACCTTAATTGAGGCCGTTTTTCACGTTGTTTACTGTCTTTATCAGACGTTCTTAAGATCTCACATTTGCTCCAAAATATAGGCAGTGGCAATTTTGTCGAGTTTAATTTAGATTGCTAGAAAGTCAAGTGAAGACGAGAGAGGTAACTTCAAATAAAAATCAGGATGCTATTGTCATAATGGTAAGCCTGTTGTTAACTGACACATTATGTTGTACAATTATTCACACTGAAGTACTGAGACAATACTGCTGTTAGCCAGCCTCTATTTACATTATTTATAAAAATCAGATTAAACGGATTTTGGCAACAACTACAAGACGAAACTACTGCAATTAAAAACGTGAAAAAAGTGAAACGTCGGAGACGATATTACTGAGTAGTAACTATGTATATTAGAGCTACACGGACTGTGATGATCAAATAATTACGCGAGACAGCGGTTTGCCTGATACCCATACCGTGGATACCTTGTCTCTGATTTTAACGCAAATGAGAAAACTTTTCTAGAATCTAGTAGTATAGATCTTGCATAAATGCTTGATTGTGCATTCTAGATGTGTATTGACCGTCTGCTAAGTACTGCACTTACTGTATTAAAACTGCATGGTTACGAAGCCAAAAAAGCTCAAAGCTATTGTAACTTCAGAAACATTAGCGTCATGCACTCTAACCTCTGTTAAACTTAGTGTTCTATCTATCAAAACCCTCTCTCCAACAGCTGGTACCTCATAAGATCAATAGCTTGTTTTTCTCATAACAGTGTTGCCACCAATGGCATACCGTAGCTCCGCGTAACAGGCTTCATAAAATTTATATATATATATATATATAATTTAGATTGCCACACTCGAAAAAAGTCGCTCTTTTTCAACTTTCCTTTGAACAGAAATTTTTGCGATACGATTCTAGCAAGCATGGGATCGGAACAAGTTAGGTTCTGATAAGTATCGCATTGTTATAATGGGCATTTTAATTGGTAGATAAATCGTAAGCAGTCTTGACCTTTGGCGTTGGGTAAGTGAAGACCGCGCATTCTATTTGATTCGAAATAATCTGAAAAACAGTGTTACCAAGATAATGCTTCATTAATATAGAACACTTCATTTTACAAATGTCATTTGTTACAGGTGTAATGAAGCGATTCCCGAGATAGCTTACCGTGAGCTGCCTTTTGAGCTTCAGAAGCAGGTTTACATGGACAGTATAGTCGATACCAAAATATAAGGAAACAAAAATCTACCTGTAAATCCAGGGAAACATCGGGCTCGGAAAAAACTTTCCTTCATTTCGATTTACTTAAATCAATTAATCAAACGATCAATTTAAAATACAGATTCTAACAATCTTGCTGCAAACACACGCATTGAGCGAGTTTCCATATTTAGCGAGTTTTCATATTTAGATATCTCCTTGTAATGTATGACAATTACCTATCTACATAAGAGTACGGGCGTTTGTGCAGCGCCTTTTTCCTTCTCTATCCTGCCCTCCAAAAGTATGTAGAAAAACAAAATGGAAAGAACCTCTTCTCACAGGTGTCTCCTGCCACTAAAGTTTTTGGTGCTCACAAGTTACCCGTATCATCTAAATGGAACTTCTTGCAGAATGCGTTGAACAATAATGAATATAACTACCGGAACATTTATTTTTATATATGGTTTATCTTCAAACGTAGATGCTGTTGTTGTTGTAGAGACTGGTCAGCGTTAATCTTTATTTTATAGTTTTTTTTTGCTTGGCTTCTAGCACCTACAAAAAAGAGTATTTTTGCTATCATCATTCAGCTTATTTTTGATAGAGCTGTATTTAAACAAACATTTAACGCAAAAGAAAAAGAATAAGACAACAAAACAGATCATGCTTTCAGTCTTTACAACGGTCTCGACAAACAAAATTTTCTAAACAATGTAATCAACTAACGTTGATGGATCATTTGATATTCGATACTATTAAATGCTATACTACTACGTTAAACAATCTACAACATATAATTTTATTTCAAATTATGTTAAAATATTATAACTTCTCCAACACTAACCAGAACAACTGAATATGAAGGCAAAAGAAAAAGAGGTAAGAGCAAATTCTTCAATAGTAAGGACGTGCAGATCAGGCACTCCAACGTTGTCGAACATCAGGCTATACGTTCAGCGAGCTTGATAGACGAAGTTGATAAGCGCGTTACTCAACTTATTGTCGTACTCCCTTCCAATGTCTGTCTCGCGCACCCGTGCAGCGCACTCCAGTTACCCACTGGCAACGAAGTCCATCGTTGTCCAGCTTCACAAACGTGCCATCTTAACGCTTAATGTTCCAACAACCAAACAAGCCTTCGCTGTTCTTTCCCCAGCACCGATTTTACTGTTGATATGAATAAAGACACGATCTGCTGTCATGAACGTTGAACTCAGACGTATTTTCCCATAGAGATCTCGCCTTTGATCATTGCTACAAACCAACAAAGAAGCTTATTCTGTTAATGTCGAAATCCATTCATTAACAAAACACAGGCGCGGAGCGAAGCCCATGTGTATGTTTGTTGGGAAAATAAGGAGAAGGGAGATATAATAAAAATAGTTTCTTGAAAATTTCCAAAAATAACTTACACAAATAAATATGGATATGGCATTAAAATGCCGTTTTATATTCTAGCTTCTTATACTAAATATCGCAAAGAGCCGATGGCTGATACCGTCGTGAGTTCAACAATCATGCTGCTACTACAAAGAAAAGGAAAAAAACGGCACTGGTTACATTTTAAAAGACACTGAGTAATCGAAAATGTAATGTAGAGCCTATGATGATGAGTAAGAGCAACTACATACTGACTTATACAAAAATAAATGGGAAAAATGTATCAAATACGTTTTATTGCATCTAGTTGCATGAAGTGCATAAACAGTGCCGCTACAGTGGTAACTATGATAATACAAGATTAGAAAGTAACACTTTTTCACTTGCACTTCGCATTAACTCGCAGGCTAGAATAGATAATACGGGCAACCTGAGTACAGTAATTGCTATTGCAATGTTTAGGCACAATCCATGCAATATTCCATATATGCCGCCGTACCGCTGGCACAGGCACAACGCCGATCGGCAGCCAGTAGTAGGCACCAATAGTACACGTCTTGCGCGCAACTTTATAAGAATTCCATCTGTCTCATCCTCACTTTGGTAATACGAGAAAAGGTAACGTCGCTAGAGAAAATATATATCAGCAATTACAGACAGGATTGTCATGTATCCTACTCTGGCAAGGCTTCAACGATTCTAATCCGCGCCACAGGCAGTTCTAATATTCTAATCTAAACACAATAGCGACGCCTTTACAACGCGGTTGACAGAAGAAGATATGTATGATATGGGTTTCGAACTTCGTACCTATTGGCTGCTGCATCCACGGAAGCGAGTAAAAGTAAGTTCTGCGTCATATGCAACCGGTATACCGTATAATTATTGCAAGTTATCTTGGCATAATTCCATTGAAACTGAATTTGCATCATAAAAGAAGTTCTGCAAATATTAAAACAAATATTAAATAAATAGTAGTCGGACAGTGCAAGATTCAGACTGTATATCATGGGAGATGCATAAGTCTCAATTTTTGCCGCGCACATAAGGATATTTACTTTGGTGTTGTCTTAGCGGAAGACGACGCTTTTTCTGTACTACTAGCTCCAGTCAACCTTTTTCAATGGCTTACTGTAGTCATGTTAGTTGTTGACGGTAGAAGTCCGAATGAATCGTTTTTGGCAGGCAACAGCAACTCATAATGCACAATTCTTTTTCTATACCACACACATAGCATTAACTTGATTGGCGTCAGTATAGGCTTTGCCAGAGATTAAGGAGTATACTTTTTATTTTGTTTATTCGTACTTTATAGCCTTATGTGATCTATTTTTTATTACCCGTGATCAATTGTCTTAAAAATAGTTCGATTTCGTTATGCATTTATAGAGTGTCGCAGATGAAAATACGGTCGAGTTGAGTTTTTTTTGCGTCAGTTCGTATGACACCCAAACATAGAACTTTTGTGTAGCCAGCTTTCCTCAAATGGTTTAAATGTTGAATTCTTTGGCGTTATCATGACTATTCACATGTCGGTCTTGCTCAATAACAATTTCACCGAGATCTTTCGAAATTGACCACTATAAAGGACATCATGTATGTCGAAATTTCTAGAAAGAAAACGAAAAAACCATATCACAGCTATTATCTTCGATACCGCATTTTTAGTTAAATTTGTTATAGGCTCGTTAATTTTTTAAGTCTCGGCAGTATTTGTGCCTTTATCGTAATAAAAATTCAAAATGTAGTGAATTTTTGAAGAAATTTCGTTCATCTTGGAAACATTTTACCTTAAGTCTAAATAGAGGTAGTCTTAGAATTTCTGCTGCGAAATTTCCGATTTCAAATGATACCAACGACTTATATTATTCGAGACATGTGACTTTAAAGCCGTAACTAAAAAGACGATCCGACAATATGGTATAAACAGACACAGAATGCGGAATTCGAATTCGGAAATTTAAGAAGGCTGAAGAAGAAGAACTCTAGACACCAGAAGATGGCACTTCTTTTTAAAACAGGTGAATAAATTCATCATGACGAAAAACCGTACGCCGGTTTAGGAATTTCAACGAAGCCAGCTCATATCCAATGTGTTCACGACACACAAGCCCCAGCTGAGATCTTTTACCCGAAATCAGGGGTCTACATTACTGCCACTTAGTGCGGCATCTGAGAAATCGGATAAAGGTTTTTATTAGAGAAACCGAAAGATTCTTAGTAGAGTCTACATTTAAAAGGTTCGAACATTCATAAAAATGAGCCGGAAAGTAATTTTCGATGCTCCTGTTATTTTTTTTTAATATAAAAGTTAATGGCCATTTTGAAGAGCAAAATATAAACTGCTAATTTGATAGTCCAGATACACTCCAATGTTTAGTTTCGGGAGTTACTGCGTCTTTCTGCACCTTTTCCTTTTTTCGCTCTCAGTCCTTACATTTTCGGATTTTTTGGTCTGCTATCAGTCCAAAATGTAAGTTTGCTGGAATTCAGTAGTAATGAAAGTAGCCAATTTAAATGACATTTCAGCGACTTTGCAGTTGTAGCGAACCCATTACCACCGGGTGTTAACATGTGATGTCAAAAGCTATAAAATATACATTTGTTCCGTATTTCGCATAGTTATACAATATACATTGGAAAATACTGAGTATGGGTGTTGTTGGCTAAGTGGGTTGTGCAACAGTTTATTACTTGTTCGACTCGAGATATTACGGAAATATGAATAAATCTGGAATCCACGGTGTATTCTTGTTTGTAATATAGGGAACATATGGGCGTTTAAACCGACAAAGAGCCTGCGCCCGTGGATAAGAGCGAGCTAAGGTGCTTTCCATCTGAGTTTCCATCACCAGAAGACACAAAAAACAATTGGTCAGACGATGCGGCCGGATGAACCCTAAATCTTGTGAAATACTTCACACGGTCTTATTCGAACAAATCTCAAAAATAGACATCCTAAAACAGCCTCCATAAACTCAAAATCTATCCCAAGTGATCCCATTAGATTCGTCGGTAAGGACGCCGGATAAAAAGGAGGTAGACCCACTAGAAGTGCATAATTCCCTCATAGAGTCACGTGCATCCACATGCTTAACCAGGATAACGATAGGATGTTTTCTGTCATGGCAGGCGATAACGCAGAAGAAACTTAAACCTGCATAAACGACATACTTGCTGCTATAGAAGATTTTAGTTTTAAGTCCATTGATATCAAGTTCGATCCGATTACAGTATAAACGTTAGAATAAAAAAACTTTGACAGATGCGTAAGCCAATCGTGCGCATTTGTCTAAAGAAAATCCTTAGAACATCACGCCCTGTAAAATAATTTGCAGGCCACTTGACTTCGACGCTACAGATCGCAAGTAGGTTTAAGTTACCGTTTTAAGTTAACAAATTTGAACACTGAAATTTGTTTCCGGTAACTTGAAGAAATATTGTGTGTGATTTCAATTTTTCCAAGTTCTATCTCCTGAAACAATCTCTACTGCTTATAAAAAAAATTTCGACGTCTTTGAGGTAATTTCTTTGTTGTAGATACTGCTCTCGCATCGGATTTGAATTCTGAACTCGATCGATTCCAGATCACAGTTAGCAGAGTCAAGAAGACATTCAATAATAACTTCGTAAAGCAAGGGTACCTTTAGGCGCTCTTTTTCTATGAAAACCCGAGAAATCTGTACTTTTCACGACCTGCATAAATACAATCATTTAAAATACTTTGTGAGTATATTGAACTAGTGTTAAATCGTTGATTGCTTTAGATTATTTTCCTTGAGAGTGATTTTCGTCATTGCTGTGTTTAATGATACTAGGGTACTTACCTTTAGAATAGAGAGAGCAACCTGAGCGCACGCTAACACCCAAAAGGGACAACTTAGAAATGTCACCGATTAAGAGTTCAGCAAAACTTGTAGATCGTCCTGTTAGTAAACAATAGTTGTTTGGGAAATACCGACGAACAACAGTACCATAAATACATGTTCCGAGTTTGAAACCACAGTAATACTAATAATAATAATCAACCAATGACAGTAGTAACGGTCTTCTAAACATCAGTAGAATGACCAAAGTTATGCACTTCATATCGATTTAATTCGTGTAGGTAATACGCGTGTGTTTTGCGAAGTATCAATCTTATACTATAAAATGCAAGGATGTGTACCAAAAATGTGTGCAAGGATGTGTCTCAAATGCGTCATTTGTGAGTCTCATAGACTTTAGACAAGACTCAGACACAAAACTGGATAGAAATAGCCTACGCCAATGTCAGTATTTATCGGATCACTTCAGACCATTGTTCTCAACTAGTTTTTAGTCTGTCTTGTTTAGCTGACCGCCTGGGTCTGAAATTCACAGGTATGATATCTCACGCCACTTACATGATGGGCCATACTAGCGAGGTCCAGAGCTTACAGGTTTATAACTCTCTGGAATCGTTATAATCCTGAATATACATTTTCCCCTGAATGTTCAGATGTGCCAGAGATCACTGAGAAAAAATCTTACTTGTTGCATCGATGATCTTCAGTCTTGAACTAGTAGCAGTTGGAACGACATGTATCTAGCTGCAGCTGAAATGCTGACAGGCGCAAAAGCTATATGTAATACTCTTATGAGTGTTGAAAAGATATGTAGCAGTGTGGCGGTTACCAAAACCATTGTTAGCTGGGTTTCTATGAAGACCATGGTCAACATAAGAGATTTCAATGAAGTATATTTTTCTGTCTACGCAATGGTTGGTCTGCAATTCTATACGTACACGCTAACTATGAGAAAAATTATATAATGTCGGGCTTGACGTCGTCAGCTGAAATCTGATATTGAATATCTATGAGGTATGGAAACATCTCGAATGAGGAAAAAGAAGATCAGTCACGGCTTGTTACCGATTCAACTTGATATTACGCGTAGGCTGCTTTAAAGCGGATATGTTACTACTTTACGTTTTCAAAATAACCTTAAGCAGTAAAATGTCGGTTTTTCTCGATTAAAAACGATTTCATCTTTCTCGACCAAAGACGGTAAGTTGCTCAGAGTTGTAGGTGACCCATTGAACAACATATCTCTGAAGGTTTTGCCAAAACGACACCTCTAAAGATCCTCAACGATCATGAGAATATAGAATTTAAATTTCTCGGTGGAATTTGGAATCAAAACTCAGATTAAATTGGCATTTCGCTTTAAAAATCTATAATAAAATTGAGTTCAAGCACTCCCTTCAGACGTTCTTTGTTTAGGGATCTGTCAGTTACACAAATTTACTAGCAATTCAATGCAAATTACATGCCTTTCGCGACACTAATCTTGTCGCATTTGGAACCGTAACTTAATTTCGCTAAGTATTCAAAAATAATCTACCATCCTTTCCAAAGATAGGATAATTTTGCAAAAAGGAACTTGGGTTACACGTAGTTTGGAGTTTATGATAGCTATTATTGTAGTTCGCATGATGTTCAAAATGAAATAAGAAATCTGTGTGAATGCTGACAGCTTTCTTTTCTTATGTGATACTCCTGCGATTTTTGGTTGGGTGCGGAGCTTCTGTAAACAAAAAAAAATGTTTTTTTCTAGCAGAATTAAAGAAACTGACGGGAAATTGACGCTGCTTTCGCAGCGGAATTACGTGTCAAGTTGAAACAGAATTCCAAACGGTGTGTTATTTGGCCATGGTGGGGTCCAAGCTAATTTGCACAATAATGCATATTATGCGTTTTATTAACAATCGTTGGGAAAGTTAAAATCCGTCGGATAAATCGGAAGGTCTTCGTGGAAACGAATTTTCAAGAGAATAGATAATAGTATTGAAAGAAATAAGCTTTAGGCACGAGGTCCACTCTGAATGTAAGGCTATTTTGAAATACAGCCACATGTACAAATGTTTTAGATACCGACGGTTTCTTTAGGTGTAGGTCATGCCCTCGTGATTATATATATATATATATATATATATATATATATATATATAAGTGATTCATCTTATGGTGAGAGATTTCTTATATACTTAGTTAACCTAAACAAAGGCAAACAGTTGTGTATTTACTTAATGCACTCGGCAGATTGTCTGCACTCACACGGTATTTTCAACAATTGACTACTTTGTAATACACACACGCAAAACAGACTTCAGAGGACTGACGAGGTCAAACTGCGTTAATATGTAAAAAGCTATAATCTGCTGTCGTGTCTGTCGTTTCTCATGCCATATGCTTATAGCTTGAGGCCAATTTGTCAACTTTCTTCTAACGTTGAAAAAATAAATCGTTTTCTGTTCGTTCTAAGCAGAGTGTGTAGGATAATGCCACGATATTCAGAATCACAATAATTAACTATTGTACTACGCCATATCAAAAACGCAGATGTTTAATCAGCCCTTACGAAGACAGATGTTTCATGGCAATTTATAAGAGTAGCTCGTGGCTTGTGCTGCTGGGAAATTCTCGTACAATCGGTTAAAAGACTCCTTTATAAAATACCGGTGTAAATATTTCGTTCATCGAGCTTTCGTCCGTTTTATTAGATACCTAAGCAATGATCAACCGGCACCAGCGATAGACTACATCCAATACCCCATGCCCGTCTGCGAAATCTTTCGCTAAGGCAATTGAACTTGAAGATATGCATGTTAGAAAGCAAGATATTACATCAAACTCTTTATATCTTCTTCAGTAAATATTTCTTCAGTGCGCATCTTCTTGATCGCCACAAAGTCTTAGTTTTAGTTTTAGTTGAATAATGCTTTGTTGAAAACGGATCTAAAAGAAGTCTGTCAATTTATCAGCTGTTATATTTATGCCTAATCATGAATTTTGAGTTTAAGCCTGATATTAGCTGTTGCAATTTCTGCATTATTCATCTTGAATATACTGACAGCGTAATACGCCAATTTGGCTGGGCAAGTAGAGCTGATCCTGTTATACCTTATCTGCTACTGAAACCTGACATGCATTGAGATGCAAGAATTAAGCTTAAGTTATATTTTCTACTTCGACGGGTAAACCCTCTATTGAAGCGTTGAGAGCGGCTGATCTCTCAGTCTTCAAAACTCATTAATGATGAGGGCGCTCTTGCATTCACGGCTCTGCATTTTGGAATAAACTAAGAGCTAGTCACGTAAAACATATTGATATTCATAGAATCATAATTTTAGTAAAAGCTAATGTGTAAAAGCCTTAGCAAAAAATACAGAAATTTCATAATCTTTGGAGAGTCCTTTGAAGTTTCTTAGCCAAGCGAGTGAACACTTTACAAGTCATCTTTATTGTTGAACTTTAAATCCTATGGCTTCACAATACTAAGAAACATCCCTTAGTATGACAATGCAACCACCTCGGTAAACACAGTCAGCCAGAACTTTGGAATTTTTCCTTTAATCCGAACAATATTTGCTTAGCATCGTGGTACTATCGTGAGGTGTATATTAATATTAATATATTATATATTAGTATATATTATATTATTCGGGTAATATTAATCGGATAAGCTAGAGTATCTATTCTTATATTATGCTTTCGACCAGATGCTTCAGGCCAAACATAGCCGTGAGACATTGCACTATTATGTCCTCAATAATTCATGCAAGTAGCATTCTTCAATATATACGCATGAAGTTCTTGAAAAGTATCCTTAACATTTGAACATTTTTTAAGCTGTATAAAATGGGCACAATATTGTATTCAAGAGGTAATTTTTTGTTTTACGTTATTCAGATTTTACAGTTCAATGATAATTTATATATCAAGTCGGGTATAACAAGAAAATCAACAGCAAAACAGGCGCGGGTCAAAGCTCGCGTTTATCTGTCCGACTTAAATTAGCACTGTGACCGCGTGACACTCTCAATCAAATATTATTTGTCTAGGGTTCGTGAGGTTTGAACTTCTGAAGTATCTGCATTGACAATGCAATTGAGATGGTTAACGACGCATCCTTTTAGCGATGATTTACAACTCTGAGGTGCTTGCGTCAACAAGGCACTTGAGGCGGTTAAAGACATATCCTTTTATTTTATTGGCTAAGTTTAACATTGATAGATCAGGAAAAGATCTTTTTAATGATAATTTACGATTTACTAATGATGATTTACTCGAGTTCCGTACTGATAGATTAGGAAAATGGCTTTTAGACTTAACTTTTTTAGATTTTTGCGCGGGAATTTGTGCAACTTTGGGGTAATTTATTTTTTTCAATTTATTACTAAATCTAACAAAGCTAAGAATTAATAAAAGCAATCTTATATTATACATGTACACATTTCCTATTTTCACTCTCAAACTTTTGAGATCTAAATTTTCCCTTACAAAAGCTAATTCTAATTTAGGCAAGACCTTTACTTTGTGGTTTGCTCAACAGCCGTAGTAAATCTGAAGTTTCTCTAGCCTCAGGAAATAGCCACGACACTGAATATTATAGCGTTTCCAATGCATTGTGTTCAAACACTTTTCTTAATTGTTAAATGTATTTATTTTAATTATGGTATATATTCAAAAAATCGAGCACTTTTATGATCAATACTGCTACTACTCAATAGGGCTACTTAATAGGTAGGAGTTCATAATGACAAATGAAAACTGTCGTTAAGATATTGAGAAAACTTTAGAAATCGGTAAATTGATAAACATTGTCTAGAATAAATACTACGCATTTCAGTTTTGTCAAAATGGCACATAGTCGTCCACTGTTTTACTTAAGTGAATTACATAACTAAATTTACTATTATTATTTACTATTATCATAGGCAAAAAGTTTTAAAAGTTTGCAACTGATGGCACATGTTCTTAATATAGTAAATACAATATTTCTGCAAATTTGCGTAAAATCAATGCATTTATTATAAATCAACACGTATCGTTGTCACGTGTCGTAACGGGTTACACCGTTTACCATCATTTGCCATAACTTCGCGTTTATATTCTACTTATTAAAAATTCGTATTTTAAATAAGATGAAAAATTTATCTTCGACTCTCAACGCATAGTAACTAGTTCTTCTGCAGATGTAGGGTGAATTGCCACGCAACTGTCGAATTGTGCTTTAGTAGCACCCATTTTAACTGCCACACCAAAGCCCTATCCAAAAAAAAAGCATTCGTTTAGATGTTCGATTCATTAATTATTTCACTCGCCGTATTCAAGAGCACTAACATCGGTATTAAATATGGTTTAATGTAACTTATACATTTTTAACCTTATATAAACTTATAAATACAATACCTGCAGAATTTCATCACAGGAGTCTCCGATCATGTGCACACCAGCAACCTTTTCTTCAGGGCCCACGCAAACCAATTTCATGTTGGTCTTGACCTTCCTCTCGCACAGAGCGTAGTACATAGGATTGAAGCTCGATCTATGTTAATACATTGTCATACTTCTATATTAAAAACAAATATAGCAAAAGTTTTAAGTACTACTAGGAGATTGAAAAAAAACTGCAAAAATAGTGTTTAAATAGGAAGCGAACCCATTAAAGGGCTACATCAATTTCCTGATAAAGAATACACGTTATACTTACTGAACGTATGAAAAGCCGGCTTATAGTTTTAAAATGTAGTAGGCTTATAACTGAGGTTGGTATGTTGCTAAATGAATGTAAGGGTCAAATAGATCAATTGTAGTTCCAATAGAAATATGTATATGCAAATCTCATAGTAACCACCTTATTTTTCCAGAAAACGGCTTCACTTTACTAACAATACATAGTCGCAGAAACAATCGTACGTCATACGTGGGGAGTTCTTTTTATTATTCGGGGGAGTTATTTTTATTATTCTGTCACTGAGCCCGCCTCATATTTGCTTTCATTTTATCGAACAAAGTAATTTTAAAAGTGTTCAGATACATTTAAGTAAATTTTCTGCACTGGGCAGCGATATATATGTTAAACTTGTAGCCTCAGCACATTCGGGTGTTGAAGTACATTGATGACTAGTGTACTTCTAGCCGCATTATAAATTGTCTATATTGGGGGGCTCTCCGACAAATGCGAGCTATTGTCTTCCTAGAGAACGGCTGCATATTAGAAGACGTACCAACCTAATACTAATGCAACTCTCTAATGCAACATAATCTCGTGTACTTCCCCAAGAAATCCGTAACTACTTTAGTTTGCTCGTAGTCATATTCTTCTCGGATGTGGGTTTGGTCTAACTTTGGACCTTTTTGTCTCTGCTTCCTATCGACCTAGAGACACTACTATTTGTCACACAAGTTTGTGAAAAAAACGTGCCATTGTAGTGCCATTGTCTTTTCTGGTGTCAAAAGAGGTATCAACGGTGAGGGTAACTTAGTATCCACGTTTCCATATGCGCTCAGTCATTTATGTCCACCCAAATCTCTGATTCTACGCTAAAGATTCCTAATAATAGGCTAGCGTTCGCAGCCTTTATTTTCTCAACCAGGTGATTGTATGTCGTCCAACTAAAGCGAAATACATCATTTTGCTACAAGGTGCAATTCTTGAACTTCGTAGGCCAGGGTTCAGCACTTTTCTCAGTTATAATATCCTCTATCTACACTATTTTATATTTATATATCTAGTATTCGAATACACTATTTTATATTTATATATCTAATATTTGATCTCAATAAGAGGAAAAATAGGGAAGGTGACGGAAATTCACTTTTCATTATTAAAGCAGGCACCGTTGGCCTATCAGAACCCTCACGGGTTCTCGCATTGAATTTTGTGGCGTTTGTCGATATGTTCCGTAGCATACGATCGGTTGTGAAGTCAACCTACTTAGATATAAATGCGGTCAGGGTAACCATTTTTGAGATGTGAAACAAATGTAGTAGCGATATCACCGTCCATTATACGCTGAATTCGTGCATATTACCTATGGAGAATTTTACGGTTACTACTTTCCGAGTCAACAGACAGTTATTCTTATAAGCTAGGTTAAATGAGCATTTTTAAAGTCGGTCAAAGTTGTGGTTGAATTACCGTACTCTCCATGCAATAAAAATAATTCCAGGTGACCTGATCGTATGAGACACGGCCGAACTGTTACTTGGCTTAAACACATACCATTTTTTTTGCGGTAAACTAAACAGACAAACTTCCGTTAATTCTCTAAAACACACGTGATTAATAAGAAGGTTACCATTTGCTATCAAAGCTACCAATTCGCTACCAGTTACCAAAGCTACTTCGAAGTATTTGAATATTCTGCACAAGTAAACATATCCTTTGTTAAGTATCCTACCCCGTTTCTTAAGACTTTCACCGACCTTTGTGGCAGCTGATGCATCTCGTAAAAAAGCAATAGATTTATCATCCCATATCAAGACTCCCTCTTCTGTGCTGCATTGTTCGTGTCATACGCCGAGCAAAACAAAGTTTCCTATCGGAAGTCGGTTAACGTTTGCTCGAATCATCAAAGCAATGCTGGTGTTGTAAATATAATTTTGCATCGCTCTTTATTAGTTTTTCCCTGAATGTTGAATAGATCATAGTACCACGCTCCTTTCTCATACCATCATCTGCAGAGCTTTTGAGCACGAATATTTCTTCATAGCATCAAATTAAGAGGCTTTAGCCATTTTAGTTTACGCTCAAAGGTGTCGCAGTTTTTCACTGCCGGTAATGATCCTGGGCAGGAATTACCTATTTGTCAATTAAGTGGCGAAAGGCATACTGTCAGCGGTTTTCTGTAATTTTCATTAAGTTCATGGGGGCCTTCTTTCTCCCAACAACTTTTCCTAGTACATACAGATGATTAGCAATAATAATCTGGGTCACTCCCAGCTGGACAGAGAGCCTTGACTATGTCAAATTTGCTTAAGAAGTAGCTGCTATTCGTCGGGGTTGCCTTGTAGCCGCCCAGAGCGTAGTTCGTTGTTCAAGCGATTGAACCAGAATTGGCAACTGGTAACTTTTATCGCAAAAGTTTAACAACAGTTTAATGAAAATACAGGGCTCACACCCGACGGTCAAAACAATTATTCTGGAAGGTTTTGTACCATCAGTCGACGCGACGCTGGTGCTATCTGTCAAGTCCAACAGGAGCTCAAAAAATATCTATGTATATATTTTTATAATAATAAAGGGCGTATATTTATCACTATATATATATCATAAAAGCAAATTATGCTTGTTTCTCACCTGTAAACTTTAACTTGGTCGACTCCATAACTCAGCTTTGCTTCCTCCTCCGATAGTCCTATTGTTCCTATAGGCGGATGTGAGAAGACGACTGTAGGAATATTATTGTAGTCCAATTTGAGTTCATTCTGACCTGCGAATAACCGCATAGCTAGCCTACGACCAGCTGCAATGGCTACGGGAGTCAAAAGGACCTTGCCGCACACGTCACCAAGCGCATGAACTCCGGCCAAAGACGTATCCTGGTATTCGTCAACACTTATATGACCATCTTTATCTTGTTTAATACCGACGTCCTGCAAGCCTATCCAATTGGATTATAAATAACTTTTACAAAGTAGAATTTTATATGTTCATAACATGCGAAACCGCAATAAAGATGTATATATGTTATATATAGAATTACTGATTCAGCTCGAGAAATAAAAATTCAAGTGTAAACTACTCTACGCAGTTTGAATGAATACATTCGGGTTCTGCGTACATCACTGCCCAAGATGCTCAAACGCATCATTATACGTGTGCTTTAAAAGCAAAATCACTGCTACCCTCACTTACGACTTACCTAGATCCTTAACATTGGGATGTCGACCAATAGCCCATAGTAGACAATCAACATCAGACAAAACATTACCGGCCTTGGTGGTGACTTTTAGGCGATCGTCACTAGCTTTATCTACCCGAGAAATCGAGGTATTCATCTCAAACTTGACCCCGTCCGCTCGCATCTGTTCCATTAGTTGACTTCCAAGCATTGAATCAAATGCACGAAGTAGACGTTCAGTGCGGATTACCAGTGTTGTATCAACACCCAAAGCGCTCAACACACCTAGACAAATGAAGCTTTTAACGTAATAAATCCGTGGATTTATTATGAACATAATTATTCGCATATGAAGCAATCATCGTTATTAAAGAAAAAAGCCGATTTACTTAATTGAAGGCAGTCAATACCTACTCAACCTAGAAAAGATACAGGTTTTTTTCAGTAAAAGATTTTCTGTTATTTTAAAATATTTGTAACAGCTACACCAAAGCTAGCATCGGAGTATATTGGTGCATCTACATGTACTTAGAGCTTAAAACTTAGCCCAGGTTCGTTTATTGAAATCTCAAATATTATTGCATTAATGGTGTTACAGAACTGAACGTCATTAACCGGTACCAACTATTTGTATTCTTGGGTTGAGCATTACGGAACCTACCAGCGATTTCTACAGCAATGTATCCACTACCGGCGATGACGGCTTTTTGAGGCAGCTTTTCTATCTGGAAGAATCCATCGCTATCTATACCGAGCTCTGCGCCTGGCACCTTAAAATACGAACACAACTATTAGGGTACCGCTTTATGTTTTCAACTTACCAATATAGAAAAATATATTTCTAGTATGTTTCAGTAAGTGAAATTAGGATAATGCACTGTGAGTTTTAAGTGAACCTCGGTATTAACTGAATTAACTCTTATAAGAACTAATATTGTTTAGTATTTTCCAAGAGTGTGAGTGAGATTAATGAGGTCTGCATTACGAAGACCCGGCCCATAGTATTAAGCGATCATGTACGTAGTAACTTACATCTGAAGGAATAGTGGGTCGTCCTCCAACGGCGATTAGTATATGATCTGCAGTATATGTGTTTTCGCCAACTTTCACAGTATTTGAGTTCAGAAACCTGGCTCGTCCTGCAAAGACAATTAGTACTTCAGCTATGGTTACCAGTTAAAGCGAATCTACTTTAGAGTATGCGACGCCATTTTGATGGTAAATAAATGTCATTTTTCCGGTAAATGCCATTTTTTAATTAACTAAATGTCTTTTTATATTGTTAGTAGCATATTATATATATATATATATACATACTGAGTACTCGGTTTTAAAAATTTCTTCTTAACAGCAGTTGTGAATAACACGTTGCTCGTACTTTTGAGCTTCTTCGGTAAGTTTCACTGGAAAAAGCTAACACTATATCTATAGAGATAAGTGGATTTTGATAATCATCTGACGTAAAATCACTGCTAAGCTTAACCCTCATGAGATACAGTAATGTTAAACCTTAATGGCAAGACCTTGATCATTTTTTGACTTCGAGCCATAGTCTAGCTGTGGACATAGTAGCTGCAGCAGCTGCTACTCTAATACGAAATTGAGTTTAATGAGCTCAAGCACCTAATAGCCCCTCATTCAAACTAACACCCAGAGATAAAGTTTGCATTTTTTTCCTTATTCGAACTACACAATTTATCTTACGATGCGCAGTTCTTCGCATCTGGATTATTATTTTATTATTAGATTATTATAATTATTTCAAGAAATATAATATTTGGAAATATCACATTTATTAAGTAAAGTTCTGATGTGAAACTTATAATGTAATCGGGCCTGTTTGGCAGTAGTATCCATGGCGTATATTCGCTAATATCCAGTTTTCTATGCATCATTCACCGGTTTTGATTCCTACAGCCTTTAAAATATTGCTGTCCTCATTTTTTGACCCCTAAGTTTAATAAGCTAGCAACAGTCTTCCACATCTCTGTCAAATTCGCTCCTTTTAGTTGTTGACCTATTTTAACGGCTCAATCGAGGATGTCCCCATTATTTGTTTCTTTTTAGGAAGAACTTAGGAAGAACATCTATATTGCGGTTTTATGTGTACTTGGTATGTTTTATCTGTACAGCGCTACTTGGGACAGGGCCTTGTAAGATATGCGCTAGGTCTCTAGTGTTTAACTCAGTTTTCTTACTGCTAAATGCGCTGTTAGTTAGGTCATTTAGCAGTTGTAACCCTAACTATTCTGTAGCTTCGGTTAACATTAGTCCTGTTGTATTCTGTTGGACTTACCACATTTGCTGCGAAACCTACTATGACGTTACGCTAATTGTATTACCTTATGTTTTTATATAATGTCCAAGCTATTTTTATATTTATAAAACACGTATTTGATTTTTGTTTTAATCCGTACACGCATTATAGTGTGTAAAAATAAAATACAAAAGACCGTACCTTGGATGACTTCAATTTCACTCTTTCCCAAGTTGCTTTGGTAAATTCCGTTTAAACGCTTGATGTAATCATCCCTCCTAGCCTTAAATAAAGGCCAATTAAAGCCTTTGTAATCAAAGTCGAAGCCATACGCTTTGAAGTTTTGCATCAACTCCCTTTGCCACGCAGCGTACCAGCAGACCTTTTTCGGAACACAACCTACATTGACGCATGTGCCTCCCAGTCGAGCTACCGGATAAAAGTAATGTTATTCGAGTATGTAATTTCAGAAATTCTTGCACTACAAGGTAATACTAAAAGAAATTATACAGAGTAAAAAGCGAGATAGTCAGAGACAAACCTGAACACTTTAGCGAAAGTATTTCCGATAATTTAGTGAACATATGCCCACGGTGTGGGGGGCTCACCGCAATTACTATGGATAGAGAATGTAGTAATACTTACTGCAACTGTCCAATTTCCGTGTGTGAATAATTTGAAAAATCTACAACTCTCAGCTGGATCAAATTTAGAACTTAGTAGTTGCAAATCCGGTGTCTCATTCACTCCACTACTGTAGCAACCAATTTAGTTAATTAGCAGTTGTATGATCACCGTATAGCTCTACAATAATAGCATTAGAACAATGCATATTCATACTCACATTAACGATAGTGAGCGTTATTGCTTCTTTATTGATTCAAAGTTGTTTAACACTAGTCCTATATTTATATAATAACGATTGCACATAAAGATTGCCCACTGGTACAAGCAAGAAGTATATTCAAAACGTGATACTAGTAACTGCTAGCCCGAAAATGTGAGCGTTTAAGTTAAGCTATCGTATATCTAAACTAGCTAGTAGTAAAAAGCTAAGAGCTATTCAGAAAAAAAATTAACATTAAAAAATTATAAAATCTTTACTCTAAATCTCAAAAAGATTCCTCGTTAATAACATTTCGTGATAAAGAAAGGAAGTCAGATTTCTTTTCTTGTTATTATTTATTAATCATTAATAAACAAGCCGTTGTAATGAAACGTCAGCATTCGAAAATTTTAAATATCGATAAATTACAAAGTCCTACTCCCTTCCATAGGTGCTTACCCTCTTCGATCAAACCGACTTTAACATTATACTCAGCTGCTCTACGAGCGCTAGCAATCCCTCCAGACCCGCCACCAATGACGAGGTAGCCAAACTTCTTCGGGACAGACGCCATTGTGACAAGAGTATGCCGATAGTTCACCACACTTTAATAGTTTGTCACAAAACCGAAAACTTGGAAGCAACACTCTTGGTATTATCAGTCCACGGAGGAACGAAGCCAAGAAGCATCCATAAAACTGCAGCGGTGCGGTATCGATGTCGACTGGATGTTTACAGTGCCTCCGTCAAATAGACAATTTCATCCGAACATTAAAAAGCTGAATCGGCAGACCAACAATGAAACGTTTGGTTTTAGTGAAGATAATGTTTACCATAATAAAGGATGGATCATATCTCGATCAATCATAACTGCTACGGAAGTAATAAGATAGTTCAATAAGGATTTGGCGAAACTAAGAGATCGTCCATGCTAGCATTTTGCGTTACTTGTTGGTTGTTACCGTCACAATTGTTTTTTCCTAAATCAACAGACTACGCCATAATATTATATATAATATACAGCGTAGGTAGCTTCCAATATACTCTGTACTAGTTTCTAATGCGCCAAGAAGACATCCTAAATCCCAATTCACATCGTATGGCACTCAAACAAGTAACACTCAAAAAAAATTACACTCGGACTCTTTAACTAAATGAGAATATTTTATCAGATTGTCTGCTTTGACAAAAAAATATTTTACAATTTCATTGTGAACCACGCTATTAGGCTACAGGCACCTATACAGCTATCTCCTCTCGGCTTTTCGAGGAACAGCTCGTACAATCTCGTCCTCTGGGCCGGACTGTTGCTGCCCAAAATCCGCAAAATATTAGTCAACTGCACAGTGCGGCCAACAACACAACTGTTCGGGAACGAAGCTTCCCGTTTTGATTTATCCCGCTACCTGCCATTCTGCACCTGATCTCACTGAAGTGTTTTAGGACGGTGTTGCATTCTGATATGGCTGAACACGGCGAGTTGAATTTCGATGCAACTTGCTGTCGCGCCATAAGCCCCGTACGACGATTTGCCAATGGCAATCCCATAGATTCATCGCCTGCTTCTAAGTCAATGTTGGCACAGGCTCCAAACCAAAGTGGCAGTTACGCATGAAGAGTTATACGTGTACCGGTCTGATCGCGTGTCCGGCATCACTTTACCTTCTTGCTCATCCCCGCTTACAACATGCGGTTGGCTCGCAGCGTTCATGCCAAAGTAAGGCACTCCTGCCTACAATAAAAATTGTTCTTTCTGAATCGGGTGAGATCCGTAACAAACTGTATCGCACAGAAATACAACAGTACGTTTTCGTTCTACATGCTTGCGCTTGTTTCTACTTCCTGATTTTGCCAGTATAGTTGAGGCTGCCCTGGATAGCTGCAAATAAATGTCATATATTCGATGTCTAAGAGATTGTTTAGCCTATACTAAAAGTCTTCACATCGTACGCCGTTTCAACTTTGGTCCTCTTGGCAAAAAGGTAATTAATGTTCATACAAGTGCAGTGGAAGGTCTGATTAAGGTAAATATTCTTTGCCGCGAGTCCGTTTATTTTTCTACGCAATTTAAAACTATACTTACAGCTAATATTCAAACAAGCATCCATCTTAAGGCCAGTGACTGCTGCCAGCCTTACAAACCAGTAAATAAATAGTCCCAGTACTAACAAGTACCTAAGTCAGTTGGGCTTAATGTTTAGCACGTTTAATAGAGGACGTACGTTTCACTATGTTAATATGTTATTTGTATGCAATCCGTTAAAAAAGCAATAAAGTTGGATCTTTCCTAAATTAATTACTCATACTTATAATATTTTGGATGCAGGTTTTTATTTTGTAACAATTTTCCTAGCAAAGATAGAAGTCAAAAAGCGCTTTCACACCTGCTAAAACTTACAAAGATTTTATACTATTCAGTTAAGTGCATTGTCATGCGCTTACCCAAATAATATATATATTATATTTAAAATAAAATACCGCTCTTATTCTTATGTCACAAATCAAGCAATTCATTGCAAATCGTTATTTGATTTATGCTGACGGAACCTCTAGCTTTACGCGCGTATAGGTTTTAAGTGGTGCGGTATTTTTATATCGTTCTACGTTTTTTAGTAGTCCTGAATCACGATCTAAAATTATTATAGTGTTGATGGTTAATAAAAGTCTACGGTAAGTTTTTCATTTTGTGTTGCTCATTAGAACTAAAATTTGGATTTTCATTGTAAATTTATGATTACGTCTATACATCAGATCTCGAAAAATAACAGGTACATCGGGCATAACAGAATTCTAAGGGTTGAAATTCTTATAAATATTCACGATGAATGGATTTCTTGAGAAGTTTATGTAAAATATGCCTGAAATGTCAATTTTTTGTAGTTTAAAATTTTGCATTCATGTTCTTTACATTCATGGTCTTATTTTATTATCGCCGTATGCACATAACATTTTTCATAAACAAACCTTGATCTGTGACAAATCGAAAATCCATTAAGTCAGCTTCGATCTGCACGTGCCCGCAAAACGCATCCATCGCTCAAGTTATCATTCACTATTGTTGTATTGCAGTAGTTTTCTTTTATATTGCACATTCTCAAGTTACCTAGAAATTTTGTCTATAAAATCTGTCTTTGTCTACACACAGTTTTCTACTCAGAAAGGCACCCAAATGAGGATGCGTTCCGTTAGCTCCTTCGAGACGTGATCCATATCAAGACGCGGCCAGAAATCTCCAAATAATTTTGAGCTTTGCACTCCGTACATGTCAAATATTTTACGATTCACGTACGTGAATCTGCAACATATATAAATGCAAAGATTAAACAAACCTCTTAAAATTAGTGAAGTATTGCCTTCAACGTAACCTACCTTTTTCTCTTAATAGATACACGCTAACTACATCCATAGTCCTTACTACCGGATATATAGAACGTCGATAGAACATTTTATGATTTAGTGTTATTTTAGAATACTGAAATTGGTGGATCACTTTAGTACTTATGGCAGTGACGTCGAAAGTAGTAGTACTCGCAGTATAGATATCTCAGTAGGAATTAAAAAACATGTCTATATTCATTAAAAGTTATTCAAATAAATAAACAACATTAAAAAACAGTAGGCAGGTAATGTCCAACCTGTCGTAAGAGATTCGGTTCATGAATTTCCAGTACGTCGGCCGTAAATTATGAGGTTCAAATACGGCCGCATAGAAGAGCATCGCTGTCGAAAGTGAGTAAAGTAGTTCAGATGCACCGGGGATTGGACGGCCGTAAGCACCGTATGCACCTAGAGTTCAATGCCAAAGAAGCATTTATACATCTTTTAAATACCCTATTTAGTTTATTGCTTATATTTGGGTTCGGATATCTAATGTAATATCTTAATTATAGGCTTTCCACTATTATTGCTCTACATTACTTGCGAACCTGATGAAAAAGCGCCGGCGCGTATCTCTTTATTTCAGTTTATTCCATTTATGTGCATCTAATAAGATTCGTGCACAGGTATAAAAAATATGTAACTATATGGAGTGTTACTTATGAAAAATTCCATAACTGTAAAAACAAGAGAAAAATTAAATGATTGTCAATAGCTTTGCGATGCTCGTCCGACGTTTTTGTTGCTGCTCTCTACTACTAATAATATTACTCGACTAAACTTATCGATCTAAAGTACCGCCAAAAGCCGGTAGGCAGCTTCAGTCATATAGATGCTGGCTGGGAGCCAGCCGTCTGATGGAATTATTAACGGCAATATCGAAACTCGAAATAGAGAGATATTAGATGTAAAAGAAAAAATCAGCGGCGGAGATGAAGTAGATTTTGGAGCGCGGATTATGTTGCTACAAATATACAGTATTTAGCTTGGACAGAAACACTCGGTGGTTTGTACGACATTTTTGGAAAAGAAAAATCCTTTCCCTAAAAATTAAGATAGTTTAGTTTGCACATACGCAAAACAGCGTTTAGGTTTAAGTCAAAATATATTATTACCTTCAAGGGCTTTCCAAGCCAGGTAAAGAGCCATAGATGGGGATCCACTGAAGAACATCGAAAGCGCTAAAAGTTGAAATCCAACAATTACGTGAGCGCAAATGAAGATGTTGACTTCGCATACTTTCTTGAAATTATTTAAGAAATGGAGTTCAAATTTGACTAGTTTAAGCAAGTCAAAAGTATTATGAAGCATGTGTAAATAATGGAGTATAATAAAATTCAATATTGTTATACAAATAGCAATGCGTATGGTATGAGAAATTATATCATGAGTGTTTCAATTTAAAGCTCTAGATTCTCACCTACCGGCTAAGCATCCCGCAATACCCGCGCGGTTTTGGGGACTATATCCTCGATAACGAAGGAAACAATTCACGCCTCGAAAAATTGCACCGAATGAACCTGAATAGAATCGTTAATTTTTTTTATTGATTCTCAGTCTGACGTGTCTCACAACTTCCGTCGCTGGAATCCTTATGAAAACTTCTACGGAAATTATGAAGTGTACTCTTAACTTTGTAAAATCTATATGTATCTCCCCGGCTCTGCTTTAATTTCTTCTCATTGTAGGGATAGCTTTTTCGTGAGAAAAATCTCTGTTGTGATATTTTTGCACAAATGTTCAGATTCGAACACGCGACTTACGCGGAATAAGCTTATGATTAGCAGCCTCACTAGTGCCTCAGCTACCTCGCAGTTAAAAAGATTGATGAAGGGGACATATTTAGCCTTCTGTAGCTTGCTCTGTTCCTACGATGAAATGACCGGACAGTGTTGTGCTGTCATTCCTTTTGACTGTCTCGTTTCCTACTTCTATTTTTATTATTTCAATTATTTCACTTTAAGTCTCCGATGCGGTAGAACCAGTGATGGCTCTCAAGTAACGTGCTAACCCACTATATTTCAAGATATGTGAAATGGTTTAAGCTCATCAGTTCAATCCGGATCAAAGTACAGTAATATGTAAAAATGTTTCAAATCAGTATTTATAAAAAAACGTGGAAAATTGTAGGTAACCAATATAATGCAATGCAACGACATACTTTAGCTTTCTTCTAAACTAAAACTTCTAAAACTAATGTTAAAGTAAAAAAAAAAGGATGTCTAATGAACCATTTTAGAACCTTATATGTAAAGAGTTTGCCATTTTTTAACGTTTATCGATCCTCGTCAAAGATGTTTTTAAGTTATAGTTACTGCCGACTATATATATCACATACAAACAAGCAGTGAGATAAGTTCAATAGAAACATAACGTCAATTGTTGTTAAACATTAGCACTTAAAACGTTTTACAACCGAGTAATCGGCGTCCCCTTTCATTCATAAGTAACGCACGCTAGATCATTATTCATTATATCAGTCGGTCCCTTCGATGTTGTGACGTCATACGTTCCAATGCATTGCTTTTTTCAAAATGTACATTAAGGACAGCAAAGAATCTCGAAAAAATAAAAACTGGATTGACTTGCGAAAAACTAAATTGACAGACATACTAAGATAAAGTTATATATAGGCTAAACAAAATTATTTAAATTCAGAACCAAACTGTAGTAACATCTGTTATCTAACTATTATCTATTAATAACTATTACCAGTAGAACTGAGCAGTTTCCGAAGTATGTTCCTATATGAAGATTTAAACAAACAAGCCCATACCGTCGTTTTAAAGCGCGCTGTCAAACTTCGAAGTTGGTTACTTAATTGGTCTTAGGTAGACTGGTGGCACTACCGAATGGTTACTTCAACGCAACTGAAGAATTTGCAAGTGCCTTCAATCAAGCGAATTAGGTAAATGTAAAAAAAAAACAAAATTCACACTAATGAAAATGCGAATGGATTAAGATTTTTTTTCAAGAACACTTGGTTAAGCTACTGCTTATCACCTACATGAGTCCGAGAATATAAACTGCAACTATTATTTAAAATGCAGTTAGAAGTGTAACTGAAGAAAGTAAATGCGTGTAAAAAGTTAAGTTTATTTCTTGACAATGTTTGTAATTAGACCTTGTATCTCACAGAAAAGTGTCCCGTCATTGCACACATTAATTTGATGTGCAAAAATATCAAGAGTAGAAATGAAGGTAGAAGTCGTGATATATATTCGGCCTCTAACAACAAATACGGAATTTAAAGTGGCTCTGTATTTTCGAATGTGTGACCCAAAGCAGCAGACGGAAAACGGAGCAAGCAAGCAAAAAGCAGCTATGGATCATATTTGGTTCATTCGTTTAGGAAAATGAACTTACCAAGAAACATGCCAAATTTGTATGCTTCTTTATAGCGGATCGTTTTAGATAGTGACTGAGTAGCAATGAGACAAAGGACTGCACGTAATAACCACCCGGCGAAGAACGACCGTGCAAAACCCTGAAAAAAAAGAAAAGAATCGCAAAGAAACACATGTGAAGCCATTGCCAGCATTGTGACCGTGATACACATACATTTCGTATAAGATAGTGTGCCTTTTCTTCTCATTTTGTTGTGCCTTGTGTAACGCCTAGTGACGTTACGGGCTGGCTTCATTCTATATATGCTCGAAATCACATTCATTTATATCACTAAAGAAGGAAGTTTGCAATGAAGTACATCGCAGGGCATATTAAAATAGTTACACGTTCGAGCAATCCAACGATATAACTTACGAAGCTTCTCGTTGGACGTTAATGTACACTATTTGATGCACAGGTGTACAATTTTTGTAAGACTTGTTACAAGTAGAATATACGTACATGAGTCCTCTGCGCCGTGAGCAACCATCATCACTACGATATTCTTCATGTAGACAAAAGGTATTTAGTAATAAATGACAAAAAACATATTACTAAGAAACGGCCTGACCTTTCTATCTTCGATTATCCTATACTGGAAGTATAAGTTTCATCTTAGTCCCTGCTGGCCACGTTAATAGACGCAACTATCCTGTGCTCTATTTTGATCCAATATAATAACATCGAGCACCGATGTTGAAATTTGGTTATGTAGGATCGAGTCCACTTTACTGAAGTTTTCTCTACTCATTCGCAAGGGCTTTTCCAAAGTGAGATTAATAAGACTTCCCGCCCTGCGTATTTTCATCCTTATAATTAAAATCAGTAATTAGTACTTTGGCTTCTACAAGTATTCAAGTCTCATCGGGTCATCTTGCTAACTCAACGATACACATAGTACGGATGTAGTGTTGGCGTAACCTGGGTAAAATGGCGTTGATATTTTCTTTTGAAAGTCGCTAGTTGCAAAAACTCTTTATGCACACCTTGCAGCTCCCAGCCAGGCTTTGATGAACTGCCATATATCAATTGGATAGACATTAGAGCTACTTATTCACCTATTGATAAGTGCTAACGACGAGTCTATTTTGGGCAGTTACGTGCGCATGTACTTGTCTAAGACGAAATCTTCGCCTATCTAGAAGCCCTGTTTCCTAGTGACTCAGTATACCCTAACGTTTTGGAATGCCATATATTTATTAAGGAGTCTGAAGTATAGCATCATATGTTATATGCACTTACTAGGAAACCTATTTTACAATTACAATCTTTTCACACAAAGATGAATCTTAAATCCGCTAACCAGCAGGCGACTAATCCATCTGACGCAAACTGTTTGTGGCACTAAGGCTAAGTTTCTTATCTTTTTCTAGGTGCCTGGTTCACATGTCTTATTATCAACAAATTTAGGGGATTAGACTGTGCGTGTGAGGTCTGCATACATGGTTGTAATAGGACATACTTCCGACTATTTTTTTTATCATCCAACGATTTGGTAAATTAAAACGAAGGCGTTATTGTACAAAACTACAATATGCCTAATTTGAAACACCCTGATGTGATCATTTCGGAATAATAAAATGGTTGCCTCACATCCTACAAATGGGTTTACGATAGAATAATGTTCAGATGCGAAACTAAATAAACAATGAAGAGACAACGCAATGCAAAAGTACGCACTTGTATTAAAAATACTGTAATATTTAACTATGTGGCTCGATATACAAGAATATGTCGGGTTGATTGCTACATATACAATCTTGTTCGGCTTGTATTTCAGTACCCCTGGATACGTTTAGCTTATATATCATTTGAATCTATTTACTAGTTTGAACAAAACCTCACACAAAAAACGTCAAAGTATTATTACTGCTGGAAGCCATGTCTTGATTAGCTTTACTCATCCGGAATCTGTTATTTATACTTGTGCCGTTATGCTGCGGACACTTGAGATATCCACCTACCCTTAGCAGCATCTACCCTTACCGCGTAAGTCGCAGTAGATCTACTGCGACTTACGCTATCTAATGAACGAATTTAGTAGACCGGAAGTAGATCCCGACTACTTCGATACTTCACCAACGTTGCAGTACCCGTACTCATGCTTTAGGTTCTCGCAAACGTTTGTTAATGATTAATGTTAGTGATTAGTTTGTTCTTTTTACTTATATATATACAATATGATCAACATTAAAACTTATTTCTCAAAAATCGCCTGCTAATAAGTACAACCAACTAATAATACTTTTATAAATAATAAAGTTTCGCTGCGAATAATAGCAATAACGAAAATTGTTTAGAAGTGAGCGGTATGTATGTTAGTAAAAAAAAAGCTTATTTAGTCTATGTGATATTGATTAGGTATATCGTATAATTGTTTGATCGAAGGGCCAGCCTAATAGGAAAGCTCCCTGAAGGGTACGAATCATATTCATTCCAATAAGAAATGAAATATAAGGATAATTTAGACAACAATGGACCTCGATTTAATCCACATCCATGAATATGACATTCGCAATTTCGAGAAGCTTCTAAGCCGTTTTAGTTCACATAAATGCTCACTTCATGGCCGTGCTGTTGAATTTATGGGTATGGAAATGTGAGTAGACCTCATTAGCGTTGTTCACCATTCTTGACAACTTTCCCATTTGTCGATAAGCCCTAGCCCTGAATATATGTTTGGAGTATTGTATTGGCTTCGATTTTTGTCACGAAATGCTTTATCTTATGTAGCGCGCTGAAATAACTTTTGCATCTAACGAGCCAGTGGCTGATTGCCTCCGCGTCTTTAGTCTTTAGTTTAGAGAAACTGAACTTACAAAGGCAACGCTCTCAATTCATCGTTCACTTGGACAAAAAGTTAACTGTGTGAAACTGCAGCGTTCTTTATTTAAAAGAAATTCTTCAAGGTGCAAATTTGGTACCTGTCTGGCTACACGGCATCAGCGTAATAATGTGAGGCGCCAGAAAGCACAGCTGAAACGCTTTCAGAACATGCACCCGTCTTTAACTTAAGCGGAAGCCGATTTTCTAATTCTTACAATGGAGAAGCTGCGCCGTAAATAAGACTAAATTATTTGATATTAACTGCTGGTTAGTGCAGGTAAAAGCTTCCGTTTTTTAAAAATTAGCATCTCAGCAAGTTTTTGGTTTTAGTGTTCGTTGTTTTGTACATGAATCTAAACTGCTAATGTACACGATGGTAAATAAAAATTATTAAAAAGGAATTACTGAGTTGAGTGCAAAGTAAAAAAAAGCTTGGGTCGGTCATCCATATGATTTTGCACCTTTGTTATAATCTGAAGACATATCTGCCTTACACTGCTGTAATTTCAAAAATTATATAGAAGAGGATATATCACGGACACTTTTGTTGCAAACTGACCACATTTTTTAAGCAATAAGAAATAATAATAAGCAGTCACGAGGTGACATTATTACCAGTTTTGTCGATTAATTATTCTCATCTTGCTACCCTGAATGGTTATAAATTACGCATTAAAATTAGTTGGTACAATTATTATCCGAATTGAGGCCTCATGTTATGTGAACCAAAAATTGGTTTTAAATATATTGTGATATGCTAGTAAGTATATCCAATCAATATACTAAGACTGCATTTATTTCCATTTATAATTCAAATTCCTATTAAACCTCTGAGCCTTTAAGTCTTATAAATTTTTTAGAAAAAATAGAATTTGTGTTCAAGGATGAACACCAAAAACTGCTGGCGTTTTTTATGTAATGTACTTTTCGAAGAGCTGGATGCGTCTTCACAACCGTTCCTTTAGCACGTTCAAGTTACGGAAATAGATTTTTTTTCTTATTTTAGACTTATATAATAGAGGTCGTGAGTAGGTACCCTGTAATAATTAAGTTGTTTTAAAAAAGGCATTCCTTTAAATATATAAATAGGAAGTGAAAAAACAATAATGACGATGCGGTCAGAATCGTTACCGTGCTCGGAGAAGCTTTTTCTGCTTGCCCCTTAAACCCTCTACGTGATGTTTTGAAGCGACACAATGCATTATGAATCAAATAGAAAACATACAATATCAAAATTATCAAAAAATAGCTGCATAATAAATGTAATACCTCTATACAAAAAATAAATTTTACATAACAATACAAAGAAGTACTATGCTATAATACACAAAAATAGCTACTATGAGGTTGTCCGGAAAGTAATTGTAGTTTTAATTTATTGCTCTGATTTTTCGTTTACTTACTTTGTTTCGTTTAAATTCAAAGGTCTTATTTTCGCTCTGCAAGAGTGTGTCACTTGTTTTCGTTACAAAATTTTACCTTACGTTCGGGCTTTGAATAATTCCTGGTGTCGCTAAAAATCACGTGTTGTACATTCATTTCCTGTTTTACCCAACATAAAATTTATGAATCGGATGAAACAGAAATAATGATTTCTGTAAAGCAAAAAAGCTTTATATATATGTATATATATGCTACTTCTTATATATATAAGAAAGAAATGAAGCAATAAACCAAAACTGCCATTACATTAGAAATAACTTCTATTGGGCATTCCACCATACGAATAGCTTCCACTATAAAACAAAGTGTGGCTAGGCCCGCTAAATTACAAGAAGTCCCTAAAATTCGCAGGCAAATATGTCACCCACTAGGCTAATATCATGACACGTTTCGAATATTTTAAGTAGATGTGACGAAAAATGATGATTACAAGGGTAACACTTTTCCTTATTTGGCAATTCTCCGTCGTTATAGTATTATATTTGTCATTTAAATTTGTTACGAACCCTTTCGAAACTTATATGTAGTTACCAATAAGTCAATGTAGAAATCTTTTATTTCCGGAAAACTACTTGATCTGGACTACATTGCTTCAATCTCAGAAAAGTGAGTGCAATATTTTAGTATATTTGTTTATTTGCTCGCAGGCTTTGATAGGTAACAACTGACTAAAGCTTTTAAACGTTCCGAGCGCACATATTAATTTTTTGTACATGAATCAATAAAGAGGTTTTTGAGAAGGGGTGCATAAGAGTGAATTCGGTTCGGAGCATCGACAGCCTCAAAACCATTGCATAAACTTCCAATGGGCTGTTTGAAATGTTATGGATTTTTTTGCCGGCCTAAACACAAATCATGTTTATTCCTTATACACGCTATCCTTTCAACTTGATATCGAATTTTCAGTTACATCTAACGAATCGGTGGAAATGCCCTTCAAGTAATAACTTCTAACGGCTAGAGTACGAGTTTAGTCAGTTTACCTGTACGACATAACCGTAACAAGATGACCTGACGTCATTGTGTAAAGATTTTTGATGATCACCGCTTCCCTGCTGAAGTTGGTTTCCAGAAATTGACACCTCATGTGCAGGTACACCTTGTCCTTTCGTAAACTCGTCATCGCCAACGACAAATCTTAATAATGAAAATAATGTGGTATTTAAATCGGGTACTTTGAGAAAAGAAGGTAGAAATGATTAATGCATCATTATCTACCGCCGCTTAGGCGCTATAGTGCATGAAAACTATTTATCTATAATTTTTAGTTCGTTTCTTACAATTAGAAACCTATAAATAGAAACCTGTTTATTAAAATTATCCGAATATATGAATGGCAAGCGGTACAACAAAAATTCTAGTTCTACTTACAACAATAATGCTAAATGCAGTCAAAATTTTAAGCTGTCGTTCCCTAACGAAAACTTGTCTAGTAACCGCGTCGTGTTCACGAATGGGACGTATTTTAGGTGTAGATGTTTTATAGTAAGGTATTGAAAGACAAAACTTGATTACTCACTGAAACATTCGCTTAACAGGGTCATTCGGATGTGTGTGGCCTTTTTGGCAGAGCCATAGGTAAACGCCTGCACTTACTGCGAACATAAATTTCTCGAAATGTGGAATTGGAGTTATCCAGCCTATGAAAAGCATCAAAGAATAATATGACATGACTTATTTTCAACCCGGTAATCAATACCCTCTGACAAGAGAATCGTTGAGTTAGGTGAAAACATGTGCTAGATGGATCATTGAGGTCAAACCCATTTTACTCAACATATCTAGATTTGGGGAAACTCTGAGTTAAGTTTTATAACTTAATAAAACGATAATAAGAACAATAGTAAGAAAAGAGCTTTTTAACATACATACATTTAACGTACATAGCACTTGATTATTTCCAAATAAAGAATTAGAAAAGCAAAGATATAAATGGAGGTCAAGCCTGATTTTCTATATATACCACGGAATTTAATCATATTGTAGATAACTTCCGATGCCATATTACAGGTGTACACAGCCAATTGTTTGCGCCGCGCTGGACGTTCCACTAGAATTGCAAGTAGGGACGCGACGAAACCTGGAGTGCATGCCGTTGACATTAAACTAAAGTTGCCAGTCAACTGTCGTATTGTGCAGAAACATGCCTGAAATAACGTGCCATGCCAACTACAATAAAGTAAGCAAAATATCTTTCGTAGTGGAATAATTTTCATTATCTTGTTACAAATAGACCATACTTAAAAGTAAGAATTGGATATAGTTACATAATAAAACGAGAGTTAGCATTTCCAGAATTAACAAGCTTTTAACTCGTGGGATCTTTAGTTCCCTTTTCAGAGCGCATGCGCAAGGAATAGCAGCCTTTATAATCTCTGCGGGATTGTCGCTGTGCGTACGTATTATAGTTAGCTTGTACGCGCACTTTATGAGACCTCAAACGCTGTTAGGATGGCCCGAAATTGAATGGTAAATTTTTGCAATTTTTCCTAGTCATTACGTAACCAATTGTCAATGAAAAAGAATTTCATATTATTTTTCTTCCTGATCTGAAAACAAAACAACTAAGACTCTAGCTGTAAAAAAAAAACAATCTTTTGAAGTAGGTCTTAAATTTAACTCAAATTAAAAGACTGAGTCGCAGTTAAAAAAGAGAGCTTGCGATTGAAGAAGCGGCGGGTGTTAGCAGTTACTGCTTCATTTTATGTATTTATAATATCATTAACGGGTTGGGCTGTCCTTCACTTGATCTGCATATGCGAGGTACCCATAATTTTTAAGACTGGCTGGAGGATCTCGAATACACGCCTTCAACTCATAGCTTGCAAACCTTTTTGCTTTTCGAATGTCAAAAGGAAGATCAAGATTATAAAATCGTATGAAAGAAATAGCCAAAAAACAGGTGTTTCGTAGTCCAAAGAAACTGACGTCTGCTAAACTTATTCATATAAGCTTATCATTAGCCTCACTCTGAAGTTAAAGCTTGCTTGTAATATTGCAAGAAAATTAAACGGAATATATACATATATCTGTAGCACTTTACAGATACTAATACAATAATCCTCTAATACTTATAACCATAACTTATGCTAGAAGCAGCGTGCATGTATCGAACCCTATGTCGTACATAAAACAATTGAAATTAATAAAAATAATTTATAAAAATCATTACTATTATTATTATTATATGGAGAACGAACCATGTTGGCAACGAACATTACATCTAGTCAAGCTAGCTCAATAGTTTTAGATACTTAAATAATGTGTTTATCCACTTGCATTTATATTTTCTATTTTCCTTTTACAAATATGAATAGGATGACCGTTTACAAATCTTGTCATTTTTTCAGTATAGGCTGTAATAATGCTAAGGTGTAGTTATAATAACGCCAACATCCGCAAACAAATCTGCAAGTCTAAATCTACGTCCATTCATTAACTTTGAGCAGCAAGCATTAATCTACTTTTAGTTTAAGTAGGTAACGCGACTCGTTCTCAAAAGATTCGCACGTAAAATGTGAGCCAACCGGTGCATCAATAACGAAATTTATTTAATAGCGTATTGTAATCATCTGTTTATTGAGTACTTCAAACAAAACATTAAGAGGATGTAGTTTTATTTCGTCTCTAATTAAAACTTCGATTTTTTGACGTCGTTCTGCACTACACCGTCAATTTCTACGGCTACGTAGTCTTTTGAACTTACACCAAATGTTGAAAGTTTTAAGTCTAATACTACCTTTAAGGATTGTTTTAGACGGCCGCCTCCAGCCGACATGAAAGGTAGTCCCTCACATTCAGTTTCGAACCCTGCTCAACCTAGCCGTTATCCTGTGCAAAACCGTGACAATTCTACCACCACATGTTCGTACAATTATGCATGTGCAGATATATAATGTTTAAATATGGCTCCTAAGTTGAGTGGAGTCAACTTGTTTCTATAATATTAAATATCGTTCGGTGCCACAATGCACGTTGATTTATCTAGCATCGAACTCACAGAAGATGAAGGTAAAACAGAATACACTACAATGCGAATTTTTTCACCTATTCTTCGCTGTTTAGACCAATACAAACAGAACTATTAGGTGCAAGGAGTTTTACTCGTCTGTAGTGAATCCTAAGTGATTAAAATTATAGTTGTATTATTAATCGCATTAAGCCCCCGAGCTAGTAAAGCCTTTGCTGCTTTTTTCATGTTTGAAAGGAAAATGGCCAAAAAATGATGGCGGTTTCGGCTCTGTGTTCAAACATATATTATCGAAAACGGAACGGCAAGCAGCTCCACATTATGGCTATGGTACATCCTAACGACAAACCAATTGACAATTAGAAACTTCAGTTCGTTCTTTTTGTTCAAACCGTACCGACCTCAAAAGCTTTGTCGTGTCTTATGGCACTAGTGCAATTGCACAGGTTAGCGCATTTGCGAAGCGCCTGTAATGTGATCCAGATTATTATGGTCTACACGTTCTCCAGTCCTAAGATTTCCTAAGAGATCCTGAGCTATACAACTACCGTATATCTGATCCCCATCACCCACAAGCACTAAATATTTCAAGATATCTTTTGAATAATTGATGTATTATTTTCCATTTTGCTCCGCTAAGCGAATCTTACAGTTTCTACATGTGAATTTTTAAAATCATTACCTTCCTAAGTCTGTAGACTAACAGACTTAAAAAAGTCTGTCATGCTTGTTGCTACTTGTTGTTTGTTGTATGAATGCTGGTCGAATATGTATTTCCCATGCGAGGGCTCTATTTTAGAGGAAAATTTTCCTTTTGATTTACCACAGTAACCATTTATATATAGTCCTTATTATTTTTTTTTATCAAGGAATATCCTTAAACAGATTTCTTTGCTACTGCCTATTTAACATTGCTCTGTACTTTTTTATGTTGTTAAATTATGCTTAACGGTAAAAAAGAAACTATGTTACGACCGTGTAGTTCATATTTGTTTATGAAATAGCCAATACTACAACTAAAGCCCATAATGCAAAACTATTTTTATTCCTCATATGAATTGCAAAACGGGTTAAGACTAGTTAGACCAATAAGGTAGATATAAGCAGGCAGTTTTAAGGGTTTCCAGTTTAAGCCAGAAACCTGTCCTATTTTATCAAATGTTCTCTTTTTTCCGAACATAATAGTCTTGCAAGCCTTACACATTTCCTAGCAATACTTTTAACTCTTTAATCCGTCCAAAAAGATAACCACCACCTGAAGAGATATGCGTTTACGGATGCGGTGATCCTTTCATTCGACGAAAATCGCTATCGCACGAGCAAGTCTTTAAATTCAAAGAACAGAAGAAAGTACTGAACGCCAGCCCTAATAAATACAATTTGTGGTCGACAATTTTTTAAATGCGGCCATTTTCCCGCCATTTTCTGTCTTCGGCTTGTCAAGTTATGATGCGTAATATGTTTTTGTCATTGTTTTATTTTTTTAAAATAATCGATTAGCACTGCTTAATGGCTATTGCATAAGATGCTCATGCTAATTTTCCCGGCCTATAGACTTTTTTCTATTTCCGATTCCCCTTTTGCAATTGCTTGTTTCGACTGTGTGTTAATTTCATAAGAATAGTGTTGTATTCACGTTTTACCTACAGTCATAATTCGATGCTAAAGTTCCAACTCATTTCTTTTAAATTACTTCAGCAGGGTTTTGAAAAATGTTAGTTTAAATGCGGTTTTGCTCCTGAATGAGCAAATGCGGCATCCAACACACAGCACGCTTTTTAATGCCTAAATCTTCAGTTAATATGTGGCAAACACGTCCTCACAACGTGACCATTGATATTTCTCTAATCTTAACTCGACCGTCGTTTAGCACCATTTGGTAAATTGTTCCGATGTTATTGGTAGGGGTTGCAGTCCAACACGTCCATCGTCAACCAAGATCGTACGTTTAGATTTAGCTGATTAAAATTTCACGGTGACATACAACGCAATGTCTCGTAAACAGTATCCACCTATTTTAACTGGTGTTGACATAGTGCCTCTCAATGCAAAAATTTGATGACGACTCGATAGTCTTTTTCTTTTTTATTTATTCCAAAGGATTAACGTCAATTGATTCAAATATTACTAGTTAACAACTATGCGCCCAACATGCTTGAAATGTTCATTTATGTGATTCAACTTATGCACAGTTATATCACCACAATATTTTAGACTAATAATGCCATATTCATGTAAAGGTTGAAAACTTTTTAGACTACATTTATAGCCGCACTTATGAATAATACTGTGTATAATATATGCACGAAATGTCAGTTTCTATATGACTTGAAAAATAGTTAGACGAACGCCAGCCTTTAGCACATTTTTTCTACGAGAAAAGGTTTCTCTTCAGTGGCACGATCTGTATATATTATAGGATAATTGTTTATATTATGGATCAGTTTGTCTGATTGTAGGTGAGCGTCGTGCAGTTACCAGAATCATTTTAGCCATATAACTGTACCGTAAGAAATTTTCCTTTATTTTGCACAATAAGGATTTTTTAACGCCAATAGATACAAAAGACATAAACGTGCAATTCCGTTTTTGTTGTTGCAACAAATGCGGAGCTATCGGGTACCCAGCTACCATAACTCAGGGTTCGTATGCTAAATTGTTTTTGATAATATAAAGCTCATTGAGCTCAAAGCTGAAATGGGTGAAATTTGGAATAGTTTCCATCGTAGGCAGTCTTTTACAATTAAATCAGCAGGTCTAAACATGGCCGTACCAAAAAAACTGAAAGTGAACTACGTACAAAATCACCAAAAATCCTCGCGGAAAATGCGTTAAACGCCTATTAGTCGATTTACATAGCTAAACAAATTAACATCTCTGAAATCCTGGCAGTTGTTAAGAAGCAAAAACTTTTACATATATACCTTTTTATATATATATACACATTTTGTAAGAATATCCTAGGGGTATAAAATGATTGATTCCCACATTGCATCTAAGATATAATTCCACGAACTTGCAGCACACAACTCTTGTCTTAGCAAAACTGCAAAGATAAAGATATACACTTTTAAGAAGATCAAACTGAGAGAATTGGAGTTTAATAAACTTTGACTACCATTTTTGCAAACTATACCTTTCAGTGGCTACATTTGCTTTAATTATTTCAAGATTCTCTTTTTTGTGATTAAGATTTTCTTTCAAGGCAACAAAGGTCCGAAAGGGAAAAACAAAACTACCTCCGTGGAAGTACATATAAATTTTCCAAAGATTTGAAACATCAATGAGTGGACATATTCGATGTATACTTTGTAAAATAATGTTAAAGGTCATCGATGTTTTTAATATACTGCGTAATTATAAAATTTCTTCGTATTCATACCGAGCAGTGAGGTTTACAGAAGTCAATGTTTTCCAAACACTACCGCTGTCAATATTTTGATACAAACTTATTTTCTCTATTGAAAAACATCTGGAAGCTGCTGTGAAAAATATATATTTTAGTATTTTTCTTTACAATTATCTATAAGTGTAGCCAGCGTAAAACTTTCACTATCTTTTCGTTCGATAGCTCTGTACAAAAAATACAAGTTTTTTTTCTTATTTCAAGGTACTTTCGGGTGAAAAATATTCCTCATTAATATTTTTTCCTAGTATTCTTTTACATGCCAAATTACATCTGATAAATTTGCAGTCAATGTAAATATATACTGCGAAATAATTTATTTAATCATAATTTATAAAATTTTAAGCATTCAAAAGAATATCAAAAAATAATAAGGTTTTCAAACTGCTTTAAATTATCCCACGGAAATGTTTATACCATATTATTTTGTAAGAGAAAAAGGACAAAAATCAGCGGAGTGAATTAAAAAAATATGTTTCTACCATATAATTTTAAAATTATAAGAACAAGTCAACATATTGATTCAGCACGAAAACAGCAATATTAAAAAACCTATTAAAAATAAATTGCGAGCTCACTTCGGTCAAATATTGACTAAAAAAGCAAATATCTCCGAATTAATTGAACAAATATACCAACTTCAAAACAAAATACAAATGTATATTTGTTTAAAATAAAAAAATCCATTGAACGGCATGTATTCCAAACCTCTTTCCAGCCGCAGAATTTTACAAGCTACTATGCTTAATATACGCAATTGCTTTCGTAGTTAGTTGTGTGATACTAGTATGGTTGGGTCGACGTAATCATTGTCGTAACTCAAATGGTTTAGTCAATTGACACCCACACCATTATTACTACATTCATATATAGTATAACCATGCATAGTAGTTTTATTATACCCCGTACCAGAAAAGATCCAGCGTTAATTGAGAGAAATGTAGATGACGTGAGGATACTTTGAAGGGTCCGTACTAAGTTCTGCTTATCAAATTGTCTTCCATAGATCAATGACGCGACGTACAGCGGGGTATATATTTTCAGCGATTCCTAAGTCATCGAAAATCAAGATTATGCACAATCGTTAAAAATACATTTGTGATAAAGTAAAACGCAACGAAGTTTAATTTACACTGAGTTTTTAGAAGATTAATATGTACGAAATTTACATCATAAGCTTATTTGTAGGCGTATTCCACGGTATTGTACGACTTCAAATAGCTTTTTTCACCTCCGGTACCAACTAAATTCAAAGCTTTCTTTGTCCCTGGTTTTGGCTCCTACTTGTTTTAATTTTACTTATACTTATTAGTTGTAAATATTACTTATACTTATTACTTATAAATATTACTTATTATATAGTTGTATAATAATAATAATAGAAGAATATCTAACGCGACGCTTTTGGATCATTAGCTGTTTGTAAACATCTTTAAGGGGCCAGTATCATAGGTGAAGGCTAAAGCGTTACACGACCATGACGAAGTTAGAAAATATCGATATAAAAAAAGTCGCCAGAAATATTTAACCACACAAATAATGGAAGTATGCACTTATTAGATTTTTCTTATAAAATCCCGTTTGCAGGGTTGCTCAGGTTATTTCTTGATGAAGTGGAATAAGCACCTCTGTTTGCCATTATAATGGTCCCTATCGAAATTCAGTTGCTAAAAAGTAAGTGTCAAGGTCATGAATATAGATGATATCATATAATTTAATGAATTTTAATTTACTTAAATCGCTAGTCAAGTTTCACCTAGTATTGATTTCATTTTTTTTCATGTGTTCATAAACATTTTCATTTAGTTTATAAACATGATACACGTTTGCCTGTCATCATTATTACTATCGTGTTTATACACTACCATCCCTGAAAAGTATATATTCAAGAAAGGGTGATTTGTTCCAACATTAACAATGGTTGGGAGCTAGTTACTAAAATAACAATACTTTTTTATAACACGTAAGTTTTACAACTACGTCATTTCATTAGATCGCATAATTTATATCATGATAAAACAGTACTGATTAATTATCCTGGTACCTCATAGCAGTGAAGAAAAAGCTTCAGACTGCTCTCAGCGCAGTTTACATTCCACGGATGAGCAACCTCGTAACAGTTATACGGTACACTGTAAAGGAATTACCATAGTCATCAGACCGTTAGTACTACGACTTCAAAAATCAAGCATTCGATTATCTACATGTTGGGTAGGAGATGGTTCTCGTTCATTTTAATGTATGATGGATGTTGAAAAGCAGGCATGCTTTATACTCATTGTTATTTACTTGCCACATACAACGCTTTTTCTAGAGTACCATAACGCTATAGAGCTAAAATTGAGACACTCTGGTCTTTGTGCGCCTTTTTGCAAACACCGCGTTGCAACTTAAGCTAGTAATACGAATCTCGGGCAAACACGTTTAGTCACCTTGTGCACTTTATAACACAGTGGTTTTATGTGCATATTTAGGCTTCACTTATAATGTCAGATGAAGCGACTTCACCCATGGAAAGCAGTACTTCCCACAATCATGTACGCATTACTCAAGGTTCAAGCGTTATTAGAAGCACGTAGTAAACACTGCACCAACTCTGACTAGGATAAAAACGTACATGTATACTACAAGTTGGCTAAGCTTCTGTCGAAGCACTTTTTATCGCAATACTTAATAAACACTTTTATGAAGCTTTCCGAATTTTAAATTCGAACAAATCTTAGCACACATATCATACATAGAAAATAAAGATGAACTGAAAATAATATGTCAATTTTATATAATATATATAGCACATAATAACAACAACTTTGAGTGGAGTATTTGTGGAAACGGAAGTTTTAAAGTTTTTTGAGACCAGGTTTCCTGAAAACAAAGTTGAGTTTTCACGCAAGCTTTATACTTTTTTTTCGCAAGCCGCACCCACCGCTTACAATCCACTACAAACACAGCTTAAAGATATAAGTCAGTTGATTATTGTCATAAAAAGACCAAGTACTTTCATCGATAATCAGTTACTTTAAAGATATTCATTATGTTCATGTCTTTATAACTCCGGGGTTATATAATCTCAGAGTGTTGAAAATAGCACAGAATGGTTCTAAGGGGGCTTAATTAAAGTTTGAATAGGCAAGGTCACAAGGAAGGTTTGTTATTAATTAAAGGAACTCTGTTACTTGTTGTTATTTTTTTGGTCCTCTTAATTTGCTAGTAGTTCGTTAAGAACATTCATTTATAAAATTTGCATATCATTGTCGATACTTTATTGGGGTATTTCTGTTAAGTGCAAAAAATACGAACGGCGATTGTCGAAATTAAGTTATCAATGTAAATAAATAAAAAAAACACGAAGATGGGTAAATAATGTTGATCCTTGATGATGTTTTATCCAGCTTTCGTTAAATTTGACGGCCCAACTCTGCATAAAGTAAGACTGAATGGAGAACACCGTGTCATTCGTGATTCATTCATCTTCCGACTGTTAAACGTGTTACATGAAACAAACCTGTAAGGTCCGAGTGGGTTCCAATATGTTTTACTCTGAATAGGCGCCATGTCGATGCTTGTTATCCAAAGGCTACTGATGAACAACGTACAGTTTTTAATGTATCCTAACAAAGATAAAAAAATCCAAGAACAAAAACTAAATTGTGCACACTTTTGTATATCACATACAGATAGTGTTTCGAAGATTAGCGTAGAGGTACTAGATGCCAGAACAAAAGTTACAGGATGCAACCGTACAAATTTTCTGAGTTGGTAATTTTATGGGCACGTAGTTCTCTAAAAGAAGTCCAATCGGTATAAGTTTTCAATTGCTGTGAGATAAAGCCAAGCGCCACTTGGCTTACACGTTTTTACGCCTTCCACTAAAATAGGAGCTGTAATTCAAAGTTTTATCGCGTGTGTCTCCAGTTAAAGACACTTGCTCGGTGAATACACATCTACCGGATCTACGGCCAGCAGTCTTCAGTGCTGAAACGTCACCTTTTTTTTTATTTACACGTCAACGGAAATTCAGCTGAATGCTGTTTTTGTGACTTATAGGGCAGGTAGTTCTACACGTGTTCCTTTTCGGTTTAGCGTAAGCACCAAAGAGCTAGGGACCCGAATATCTGGCCAAACTGAAAGAAGAGTTAGAGCTAACGCTTTAAGCAGGTGAGGGGCCTCGGCAGAACTTTGGGGTCGAATGAAGCTGACGAAGAAATGATAACGCACCAAAACCAAGCCCTTACCGAAGCATTAGCCCGCATATTCTGTCGGTGCTCTAGGACACCAACTGTCGCTGTGAGAAAGGGAAACTTGCAACAGAAAAAGAAAGGGCAAGGAGCGAGCATCTATTATTACTATCTATTATTATTATTAGAAATTATTACCATGATCTTAATAAGACAATGTGTAACACCTATATAGTAAGCCATAATATAAATAGCTGACATGAAGAGTTTCAGCTTTATCTTAATTGCACATGGACCAAAAGGATTTATTTTTTTTAGACCGAATTTAGCTTTCTTACCAATGTACCAGAAAAGTGATCCATAAGGTTAAGGAAAATTTACACATGTAGATCCCTTAACATTATTTAGAGCTGCTTTCAAGGTTAAATGAGCATGACAAACTTCGAACACGGACATTTTCCTATGAGGCGATGTAGCGGTAGTGTTTTCGTATATTACAGTGGCAATCCGTTTTATGTACTGCAGATTGTGATAGGAAGACCGTTGGCTGGTTTTACTTAGGTGATTTTGCTACAAGAGATGGTAGGAAGCTTCACTTCTTACGTAGCACAAAATGCATAGACGACAAAATTAATACCCAAACTATTAGCAATGGTTGTTTCTTACACAGGATTCTTGCTACGTTTCAGTCAAAGATGCTTCTCTACGCCGGTAGTCTAGATTGTCCAATACTATACAATATAATTTATCATCAGATGCACATATTGAAGCGTTAAGATACGCTAAAAATAGCATATTTTTCCATCTTGAAGGGAAAATTGATGTGCTTTTATGGTATGGGTGCTCCACCTCAGTAAGGTCCGTATAGATGATAAAATTGAACGTGTAACAATTGCGCGTACACTGGAGTCATCGGAGCATCTTGATATCGCGTCAATTCTGGAGTGTAGTAATGTTTTACCAAACGAGACTATCACATAAGCCCTATCATTTCGAATCATCCGAATTCAATTCATAATGCCCTCAAAAATCGTATCTTGAAAGCAACAACGCCGAACTGAAATCCTCCCGGTATTCCTGTCACATATTTCTGAAGCAAACTGGACTTGGCATTTACATAAATCCTAAAATGACGCTTCGTTAGTTAACTGTATATCCATGGTAGTCATTAGCTCACCTAGTTGTCGATAGGTATGTAGTTTGGATATAAAATGACGGCGAGATACTTTGCCAAACGCTGTTGCAAAATCGAAGTATATACAATCAAAACTAGATTTGACACTCAGTCCTGCCTAGTCCTAGAGCAAGCTGAATGCATTAATCTTTTTTGAGAATATACAATGCGATTGACCGCAATCCTTTCAAGGCATATACATGCAGTAAATTCTTGGTTGTAATTATTAAGACTCAACGTAGAGCTTTTATGCATTAGTATAACAAACCAATAAGAGAAATATTTAATTGCAATTCCGTTCTTATCACTGCGGCAGATTACAAATCGAAACAGTTTGGACCGGATAGTCGCAAGTTTTGTGGATAATGGGGAGAATATCGTAAATAGTGAGGTTGTATTGTATGGAAATAATTATCGGCATACCTTTATTTTGGTTTCAGTTTGTTCAGTGAGTAGCACAGATTAGGGTGTAGTCAAACGCAATGTCACCAAATTCATTGATCTAATTTTGGAGCACCTGGGAGAAAGATATTGACAAAGCAATGTTTAAAAATATAAGAGTGTAAAGGACCTATTCATTCATTTGTATGCGTTAATGTTCATTCCATGCATTAATTTATTAACTTATCGAAACATTCTTCAAAATTACAAAGCAAACGCTCCAAACCCTAACACTCTCTCTCTAGGCGTACTCGAAATTGATCATTCTCTTCCTATTAGGGTTATTTGTTCATAGCGTTATATAAATATAGAGAACAGACAGTGTGAACACTGCATATATCGACAGTACATTTCGTGTACATAGGAACAGGAGCTCAAGAGCGAATGCCCATTAGTTAATATAAAAATTGCCTACATAGGTTTAGTCACCCTTCAAGAAAATGTAGCCAGAAGTATTATTACTAACACAATTCGGTCTAACAAATTAGTCAGATCTAATGGATTTATGGTTAACGACAATCTTCTTACATTTCTTATTGCAAGGCCCAACGAAAACACAGAGTGTGCAAAAACTTGCTAGCCTACTTCGTTTTTCTTGTGCTGTGCCTGTGAACAAGCACAGCAGATTGTCAAGCACTAAAGACAGCTTCAAACGATGTTCTCAGGCCGGTTGACTTCGATGCACGGCGGTGACATCGAATGGCTGTGCAGGTCCTGTAATTTCCTCTCCTTTGAGCTTGTTCTGTAGAGCTATGTGAAAAACAGGGTCTATAAAACCACGCCGAAAACTATTTTTGTGTACCATAATTGTAAAGTGATTGCTCAGATTTATACTCAACTATGCTGTGATCTAAAATCATGCGAGTTATCCAAGTGGTCCCTGAAAGGACATTTAGCTGACATTGTTTCCTATGTGTAGTTCAAATTGAGCAGCTTCGACCTAAGAACAAAAATACGCATAGAAATTTGCCTTTGTTTTTCATTCCAATAGCACTGAAACTGCATAGCAATTTTCTGCACTTATAAAAACCCAGGAAACGCGTGGATATCGGGTTTAACTAAAAATTAACCGCAACAGTTCTTACAGACATTTGAATAACAACTTGATGAGACTTGGGATATTTTTAACAAGGGTGTGAATTGTTCCATCGTATGAGTTTCTTTTCTTGGGGTACACATCATAATGCCGTTCAAAGATAGTTTTCGGGCATGAGTTGGGTACATGTGTGTAAAATCATGGGTATGTTACTGTCAATTAATGAATAGTAGTTAGACAACATTTGACAAGCACCTGTCCCAATAGAGTGGGTATAATATCAAAGACATTTAAACCTACTGGAAGGGATCAGAAAAGGTCAATCAAAAATGACCACCAGATTCATCTTTGGTGCTTTGTTAATTTATTAGACTGAAATATAAGCAACGGAGATTTTTCTCGAAGTTCTTTCACTCTTACTTCTTCCCTAGTTGTTTATATATATGCCACTCGGATGTACTTTTTTCCTTTTCCATAGACCCCTTGTAATTCCTCTGTGCAGTGAACCGAATTTTACGTTGAGTTTAAGCTCTGGATGATCTTGGTGGAATAAATGCATTTTTACAGCTACTTATCCCGCCTTTCGCTGAGGTAAAAAAATCTACCGATGTGGCCATCTTTTTATCGTGCTTTATATAGACTCCATGCTTAAGAACAGTTCAAAAGTGACTTGCTGAAGTCTTAGAACTGAAGGATATACTCCGCTTCTGTCGGTCATCCGGGGTTTATGAGGGTCGCTTTATTCAAGAAACACGACCGGCAAAAGATTCGTGAATTGGTTTAGAATATAAACTGCACATGACTATCGCTAGACACCTTAAATTTCTGGGGTTTTCTCAAAAATTAGGAACGAAATATCATAAACTAAGGAAACAGTACATAAACAAGATTTTTCAGCGTTTTCCAATATCTTACCAAGCACCAGACAACACGAAGTCATAATGACAGGCTTTTACACAGAAATCTTCCATGCAAACTATTTTACCAATATGTACTATTCAAAGCAATAACGTTGTTATCCGTGGAATATCTTTTATAGAATTCTAAAAAACGTTTCAATTAAGTGATTTGATATTTTTAGTCACCTACCTCAAAACTATTTTTAGTAAAATAGTTAAAAAATTAAGGATGATCAGAAGTTGTGTCTTGATGTCTGTATAAAGCGGAGAAGGGAATCGGCGTTCCCGGGAGGTACGTTTAAAATTAGAATAAAGTCAGAAATCGGTTTGAAAAAAGCACGATTTGCGTTTCGTGGAATTAGAAAGATCTTAAATACTAAAAAATGCTTAAGAAAACAAAACGATCAACAAAAATCTGTATATGGGCCATTTGCATTGGGCGAATGAGGTCATCCAATGTAAATGATTCGATGATACACTGGACGAAGGTATGTAAGGTGTTATATAGGCGGTTAATGTGCGCCCCCTTAAATACAATGCCCTGATAATTATGAAGAATAAGCATGTAACCACCGATCAACCTCAGCGTTGAAAAATTATTATTTGGATTGAAAAAACGTTTAATAGTTACAACGAAGCTACTTGTGTGATTTCCACGACTTTTCATAGCCAGTAAAACATACCCTAGGTAGATTTTGCTCTAATGGTGCAGGTTTTACTGTTATGTCGAAAGGATGAGTCTAAGAAGTTGTGTGCATACGCACGGGATAAACAGAAAGTGAAAAAAAAAGATAAGGTAAAATCTCTTTGTGCCGGATTGTGCTAGATCACAGATGGTAAAGGCCCTTAAAGACGCTCTTTGTAAAAACTTGAGAGGGAGGTTATTTCATAACTTCACCTTCACACGAATTGGCTACCTCTTTTCCTATTATTGGCTAATTAGATTAGTGACAGTTTAGTTGACAAGAAAGAGCACAACAAAAATTTAAACGGTTAAGTGATGCAACACCCGAGCTGAAAATGTTTGGCGAAATGGAATGAATAAATTGGTTGAAATGTGGGAGAAGATCGTTGAGAGTGACAGCGAATATATAATAATTTATTCTTGTTGCTAGAACAAATTTTTATTACTTATGGAAAATTTTCATCAGTAATCTTAATTCTCTTTTTATACTAGATACGTCTACTCTTCACAAAAATAATGGATGCATTATACTAAAGTACATCCATTAAAAAGTTCATTGACAATAAGTAAACACCGTGTGATGTTAAAGATGGATTTATTCAAGTTTCTTCATCTGTTCATTTTTCTTCATTCGTTCGTGTTTTGTTTGTATAATTATAT